CTGAACACAAGAAGCATGATACCTCTGGTTTTGTTCTTTTTCAAGATTGCTATGACTATTTGTGGGGTTTTTTTGTATGTGCGTGGTTCTGTACTCATTTTAGGATTATTTATTCTGTTGTTTTTGTCCAGTTGCTCAGTAATGTCTGACTCTTTGCAACCCCGTGAACTGCAACATGCCAGACCTCTCTGTCCTTCACCATCTTCCGAAGTTTTCTCAAGTTCATGTTCATTGCATTCGTGATATCATCTAGTCATCTCATCCTCTGACGCCCTCTTCTCCTTCTGCCCTCCATCTTATTCAACATTAGGGATTTTTCCAATGAGTCAGTTATTTGCATCAGATGACCAAAATACTGGAGTTTCAGCTTCAGTATTAGTCCTTCCAACAAGTATTCAAGATTGATTTCTCTTAAGACTGACTGGTTTGATCTCCTTGCTGTCCAAGGGACTCCCAGAAGTCTTCTCCAGCACCACAGTTTGAAGGCATCAATTCTTCAGCTCTCTGCTTTCTTTATGGTCCAGCTCTCACAACCATACACGACCACTGGGGAAGACCATAGCCTTGACTGTATGTACCTTTGTCAGAAAAGTAATGTCTCTGCTTTTCAACACACTGTCTAGGTTTGTCATCGCTTTCCTGCTAAGAAGAAAACATCTGATTTCAAGGCTACAGTCACCATCTGCAGCGATTTTAGAGCCCAAGAAGAGGAAATCTGTCACTACTTTCACTTTTTTCCCCTACATTTGCCACGAAGTAGTGGGGTCGGATGCCATGATCTTAGTTTTATATATATATATATATATATATATATATATATATATATATATATATATGTATATATAGTTTTAAGCTGGCTCCTTCACTCTCCTCCTTCACCATCATCAAGAGGCTATTTAGTTCCTCTTCACTTCTGCCATTAGAGTGGTATCATCCTCATGTCTAAGGTTGTCGATGTTTCTCCCACCTTTCTTGATTCCAGCTTGTAACTCATCTACCCTGCATTTCTCATGATATGCTCAGCATATAGATTAAACAAACTGGGTTTGTTTATTTATTCTTATTCTATTTCTGTGAAAAGTGTCAGAGTTTTTCCTAGGAATTGCATTTAATTAGTGGATTGTTTTGGGTAATATGGCCATCTTAACAATATTAATTCTTCCAATCCATGAATGTGGCCTTTCTTTTTATTTGTGTTTTCTTCATTTTCCTTCATCAATGTCTTATAGTTTTTAAGTGGATGATTTTCACCTCTTTGGTTAAGTTCATTTTTAGGTATTTTATTCTTTTTGATGTAATTGTAGATGGAATTGGTTTCTTAAATTCTCTTTCTGATAGTTTATTATTAGTGTTTAGAAATATAACAGATTTCTGTATATTAATTTTATTTCCTAAACTTTATTGAATTCATTTACTATCTTTAATGGTCTCATTGGTGTTTTTTTTTATTATTATTACTTTCTGTGTATAGTATTATACATCTGCAAATAGTGAGAGTTTTACTTTTTCCTTCCTATTTGAACATCTTTTGTTTTTCTTTTCTGCTTACTGTCTCTAGGGCTTCCAATATATGTTCAATAGAAGTGATGAGAATGGACATCTTTGTCTTGTTCTTTATTTTAAAAGAAAAGCTTTCAGCTTTTCACTGTTGAGTATTATGTCAGCTGTGGGTTTGTCATGAATGGGTTTCATTAAGTTGAGCTGTTTTCATTCTGTACCACCTTTGATAAGGGTTTTTTTTTTTTTAAAATCATGAAAGTATGCTAGTTTTGTCAAATGCTTTGTCTATTGAGATGGTCTATAATAACTTTTATCTTTTCTTTGTTAGTGTGGTGAATTACATTTATTGACTTGTGGATATTGAATCATTCTTCCAATCTCTGGAATAAGTCCCACTTGATTATGGTGTTTGATACCTTTTTATATATTTTTGAATCCAGTTCACTAATAATTTTTTGAGCTTTTTTCCATCTGTATTCATTAGAGATATTGGCCTTTAATTTCTTTTTCTGTAGTGAAAAAGTTTTCCTTGTTTTCCTTTGCTAGCTTGGTAATGGTGGCTTTGCACAATGATTTTGGGAGTGTTTCCTCCTCATCAATATTTTGAAATAGCTTGATAAGGATAGGTATTAGTTCTTTTGTGTAAGTTTGGTAGAAATCCCCTCTAAAGCCATTTCTCCTTGGACTTTTGTTTGCTGGGAGTTTTTTTTATTACATATTCAGTTTCAATACTAGTGGTCATTCTGTACATATTACATATTTCCTTCCTGACTCAGTCTTGGAAAATTATAAGTTTCTAGGAGTTTATGCATTTATTTTTCATTCAATTTTTGTAGGCATATAACTGATTGTAGTATTCCCTTATGACTTTTTGTATCTCTGTGATACCAGTTGTGATTTATTCTCTTTCACTTCTTTTTTTATTTCAAGTCTATTTTTTTCTTAATGAGCATGGCCAAAGGATTATCAATAATGTTTATCTTTTCAAAGAAGGTGTTAAAGAACATTATTCTAAATGGTGAAAAACTGAAAGCATTCCCCCTAAGGTCAGGAATAAGACAAGGGTGCCACTTTCACCACTATTATTCAACATAGTTCTGGAAGTCCTAGCTACAGCAATCAGAGATGAAAAAGAAATAAAAGGAATCCAGATTGGAAAAGAAGTAAAGCTCTCACTGTTTGCAGATGATATGATACTCTACATAGAAAACCCTAAAGATAGTATCAGAAAATTACTAGGGATAATCAGTGAATTTAGCAAAGTTGCAAGATACAAAATCAATACACAGAAATCACTTGCCTATCTATATACTAACAATGAAAAATCAGAAAGGAAAACTAAGGAATCAATCCCATTCACCATTGCAACAAAAAGAATCAAATATCTAGGAATAAACTTACCTAAGGAGACAAAAGAACCATACACAGAAAATTATAAGACACTGATGAAAGAAATCAAAGGTGACATAAACAGATGGAGAGATATTCCAGGTTCCTGGGTAGGAAGAATCAATATTGTGAAAATGACTATACTATCAAATGCAATCTACAGATTTAATGTGATCCCTATCAAATTACCCATGGCATTTTTCACAGAACTAGAACCAAAAAATTAATAATTAACATGGAAACACAAAAGACCCCAAATAGCCAAAGCAGTCTTGAGAAAGAAGAATGGAGCTGGAGGAATCAACCTTCCTGACTTCAGATTATACTACAAAGCTACAGTCATCAAGACAGTATGGTACTGGCACAAAAGCAGAAATATAGACCAATGGAACAAGATAGAAAGCCCAAAAATAAACCCATGCACCTATGGGTATCTTATTTTTGACAAAGGGGGCAAGAGTATACAATGGGGCAAAGACAGCCTCTTCAATAAATGGTGCTGGGAAAACTGGACAGCTACATGTAAAAGAATGAAATTAGAACACTTCCTAACACCATACACAAAGATAAACTTAAAATGGATTAACGACCTAAATGTAAGACCAGAAACTATAAAACTCTTAGAGGAAAACATAGGCAGAACCCTGGATGACATAAATCAAAGCAAGATCTTCTGTGACCCACCTCCTAGAGTCATGGAAATAAAAACAAAAGTAAACAAGTGGGACCTGATTAAAGTTAAAAGTTTTTGCACAACAAAGGAAACTATAAGCAAGGTGAAAAAACAGCCTTCAGAATGGGAGAAAATAATAGCAACTGAAACAACTGACAAAGGATTAATTTCCAAAATATATAAGCAGCTTATACAACTCAATACCAGAAAAACTAACAACCCAATCAAAAACGGAAAAAGACCTAAACAGACATTTCTCCAAAGAAGACATACAGATGGCTAACAGACACATGAAAAGATGCTCAACATCACTCATTATTAGAGAAATGCAAATCAAAACCACAATGAGATACCACCTCAAACCAGTCAGAATGGCCTTCATCAAAAAGTCTACAAACAATAAATTCTGAAGAGGGTGTGGATAAAAGGGAACGCTCTTGCACTGTTGATAGGAATGTAAATTAATACAGTCACTATCGAAGATGGTTTGGAGATTCCATAAAAAACTAGGAATAAAACCACCATATGACCCAGTAAGCCCACTCCTAGACATATATCCTGAGGAAACCAGTGTTGAAAAGGACCCATGTATCCCATTATTCACTGAAGCATTATGTACAATAGCTAGAACATGGAAGCAACCTAGATGTCCATTTACAGATGAATGGTTAAAGAAGTTGTGGTAAATGTACACAATGGAATATTACTCAGCCATGAAAAGGAAGGCATTTGAGTCAGTTCTGATGAGGTGGATGAACCTAGAACCTATTATACACAGTGAAGTGAGTCAGAAAGAGAAAGATAAATATCATATTCTAACACACATATACGGAATCTAGAAAAATGGTTCCGAAGAACTTATTTACAGGGCAGCAATGGAGAAACAGACACAGAGAACAGACTTATGGACATGGGGAGAGGGGAGGAGAGGGTGAGATCTATGGAGAGAGTAACATGGAAACTTACATTACCATACATAAAATAGATAGCCAAAGGAAGTTTGCTATGTGCCTCAGGAAACTCAAACAGGGGCTCTGTATCAACCTAGAGGAGTGCGATGGGGAGGGAGATGGGAGGGAGGTTCAAAAGGGAAGGGGTATTTGTATACCTATGGCTGATTCATGTTGAGGTTTGACAGAAAACAACAAAATTCTGTAAAGCAATTATCCTTCAATAAAAAAAAAAGAAAGAAAAAAAAAAGAAGAAAAAACTGAACAAAAAAAAAGGTGCTAAGGGATTGATTATTTTCAGGATTTCCATATGAAGGGAGAGTTAACCAGGCTTCCTGCTGAGTCCCCCTCCTCTTGTCAGTTTTGCCACTATCATTAAAGTGTCTACAATGAGAGGGCAGTAAGAGCTTTGAAGGCTTTGATGGGTGAAGGGAATGCAGTGTGTTGTGGCATATTTCTTACTTGGAGGTATCAAGGGACTTACTTACCAAAGACTTTGCCAGAGCTCAAATGATATCTGCAAACAATTTCATCCTTCCTTTTTTGATCGAGGCCAGATGCAAAAAATGTCACTTCATAGGCTACTGCAAGAGTAACATCCAAAGGTCTGTGTTAGGAGGGGTTCAGTGCTGTCTTCGCTCTGACCTCACAGTTACAGAATTTCACCCAGAACTGAACTCCCAAATGACTTCTATGAGAAAGCAGCTCTGTCTGAACCAAACTCTGGTTATCTCTTGTGCAAGATCCTCACTGAGTGTCCACGCTGAGGCTACTGGGCTGGGGTTTGAGACCTTGGGGTGCTGCTACAAAACCATCTGAACAGTTGAGCTAAAAGACACCCAGTCTCATACCCTGCACAGGTGTAAATCCAGACCCTGAAAAGCCACGCTCTCCCCTAAGTGGTATAGACAGTGCTGGCCTCTGAAAATCACAGAGGAACCAAGACAATGCAGGCTGAAGACAGTCCTGACCCTCGTCTGAGCTGGGCATACAAACCTGGTGCCTGTGGGACTTTCTGACACTTGGGAATCTGTCCCTCCTCCCTGTATTTCTCTGTGCCTATGGCAGGGTGGTGACTCCAGGAGCAAAACCAGGCCCTGGATGAGGCAAGCAATGAGACAAAGACCCTGCAGAGGAGAATCCCCCATGGAGGGTGAAATCCTGTCTTAGCTGTGGTTCTGAAGTCTGCAGTGACTATTCTTCCCCTCCTTCTTCCTGCCCCTTCATATGCCTCACACAACGCTCTACCCCTACTACAGAGATTCACCAGGCACTTCCTTTGGCCAGGGTGGTAGACGCAGATACGAAATTCTGGGCCTGAGCCCCTCGCCAGACTACTGGGTCCCCAGTGGTGCTTCCTGGCAACTGAAACAAATATCAGGGGATCCAGAGAGGGCAGGTCGGGGGCCGGCCCCTGGGGAGTTGGCCAGGATAAGTGCAGGTCATCCTACTGCAAGTCCATGGTCTTTAGCCTCCACCCCTGCATCCTGGCCCAGCTTGGCTAGTTCCAATTGCATATCTTTGATTTACCCAAGGTCAGTTAACTTGAGAAACATTCCTCAGAAATGCCAGCACAGCCTTGGACCTGGCAGTCCTGATTCTTGCGGCTTTAGGTGTTCCTGAGTCTCCCATCATGTCAAGGTGGGGTTTGCAAATTCTCTTTTGAAGTAAATAGATTCTTGGCCAGTTGGTTGACACTAGCCTGCTAACATGTCATGACAGACTTTTTTAAGCAGAAACCCCCATAAGGGACCTAGCAGTCCCAGCCTCATGGTGAAGATTGAGCCCAGCCTCTTCCTCCATGTGGAAGATGAGGGAGGGCAGCAGCAGAGGTCAGGGCCAACTGATAGTCCAGGGCACAGGCCATACTGGCTTTTGGCCTCTGCCTGGATGCCTTCCTTCTTCCTTGGATCTCCTGCTGCCTTCAGCCCAGCCCAGGTGCTGCTTCACCTTTGCAGTGGAGTCCCTCTGTCCCAGGCATTGCTGCTTTCAAAGAAGGGCTTATGAACTCTGGCAAGTCTCCAAAGTGGAAGACAGGGTGATGGTTTTAATATTTTGGCAGAAGAGATTTCAAGGTAGAGGACTTTTGCTTTATTCAGAAAGCTGCTCCTTTTGTTTCCCAAACCCCTACCTCAGCACCCCAATTCTTCCAACAGTATCAACCACAGGAAGAAAATGAAGTGACAAGAAGGTCTAAAATCAGCTTCCAGGGCTGCATTTGCTGCATTTCCACATACAGTCCACTGCCCACCAGCTCTCACGTGGCAGAAGGACTGACAGGCTCTCAAAGGGAGACTAATCCTTTCTGGAATGGAGAGCTTTCTCTCTGAAAGAAAATGTATATACCAGGCCACCCAGAGGCTCCAATGAGAGGAGCTGGGAAGGCAGGCCTCTCCCTGAGAAGGCTGATGGAGATGAGCAGGAGATGAAGATGAGCAGATGCCCAGGAAGAGGGCATTTGATTTGCTTGAGACTGACTAGGGTACACAGATGGACGTGACCTGCCCTGGGGAGGGCAGGTCTTGGAGCACCACATGCTACTTGGCATAGCCACTTTGAGAGAAACTCGACACTGATCAACTGTGACCTGGCTTTCCCTTATGGTGGCAGGTCAACTTCCGGTCCTTTCCCAAGCTCAGAGAGGTAATTATCAAGATGGTCCTATAGTATAACTTCTAGTATCTACCAATTAGCAACAATCTGAATATTGACCAAGGGAGAGTAATGAAATAAATTGGTCCATCCATAAAATGAAATACTGTGTAGAAGGTTGGAAAACACTGTGTACTACAAGATGCCATGAATGTAAAAATATCCTTGTAAAGTATAGTTAGGTAGGAATCTACATATAAAAGGGTTTCCCTAGTGGCTCAGTTGGTAAAGAATTGACCTTGTAATGCAGGAGACCTGTGTTAGATCCCTGGGTTGGGAAGATACCCTGGAGAAGGGAATGGCTACCCACTCCAGTACTCTTACCTGGAGAATTCCTTGGCCAGAGGAGCCTGGTGGGGTATAATCCATGGGGTTGCAAAGAGTTGGACACAACTGAGCCACTAACACTTTTGCATAAAAGATGAGCTCTTTGTGGTTAATTCTGGAGACAATGGGATGGGATAAGGAGGGGCCTTATCCTGGAGGAGGGGCAGCCTCTACCCAGGCTGGTTGCAGGAGTGTCCCTGTTGGCACAGTGTGTCCATCCTTCATGCTACAGGTCCTCCTGCCCCACACAGCCTGCCCCACCCACCCCCACAGAGGGTCTCCAGCCATGATGCAGAGTTGGACGCTGGACCTCAGAGGGAAGCCCTGCTCTGCACTGGCGCCTACTATGGTCTTCACTGCTGGTATTCTTGAGGACACCCAGTCTGGTCTGGTCACATAGAGGAAAAAGAATAACCAGGTGCTGCCTCCAGCACCCCTTCCCGGGGTCAAGGTCTGAGGAAACCCGGTAACATACAGGAGGGATGAATCCTCAAACCATGGTGCCTAGTGCCCCAGAACAGAGCCCACGCTTATCCTTGAGAGTCACTGGGGAGAGGTGCTAAAGCAGCAAATTAGACTGTAGAGGAAGAAATCAGGAAGTAGCTGGCTCTGGGGGGTGGGGGAGGGATTGCCTGGGAAGGGAGCTGAGGGGACACTGTAGGTGCAAATGTGATGCTCTGAGTCTCCGTGGGCTTTGGTGCTGTGTGCATTTGTCAGAATTCATCAAATGATACACTTAGCTCTGCTGCATTTCAAAAAGAGAAATCTTAATAAAATTGTTTCCCAATTAAAGATATGTGGTGTAGTAGTCTGATGATTGTAATTTATTTTGAAATGTATCAAAAAATAAGATGGATGGATAAAGAGAGACATAGAAAGAGAGCTGGACAGATTAATACGAAAGGGAATACAGTGAGATATCAATTGCAAATCCAGGTGGTGGAGATTGGACTGCCCACTAAACAACTGTTTCTACTTTGCTGGGGGTTAAAATGATCCATAATAAAATCTGAAGCAAAAGAATTTACTGAATGATAAAAATAAAGATATGGACATAGCCAAGCAGAAGTCATGCTTCATACCGGGTGAGAAGCAACTAATGAGAGATCAAGGGCTGTGGGAAACCAGGGGAGCCAGCTGCTGAGGAATGCCTTCGGATTAAGGTGCTCTGAGAGTGAAGTCTCAAACCTGGGTGGTCTGGATCCTGTAAAGTTAAACGAGGTTTTCCAGAAAGCCCAGGCCCCTACCTACCAGCCTCTGCAGCAGGTGAACTTAAGAGCAGAGGCTGGTCCTTAGAGGGTCTGGTTATCCAGCGTGGGGGCCTCAGCCTCCATGGTTAGGTGGGTTAGGGAAGTGGCCTTCTCAGCCCCTAATGCCCTGTGCAGAGGATGAGCTGGAGCACAGGCCTGGAGGCAGGGAGGCCACCAGAGGCCTCCACTTAGCCCTGGAGGGAGCCTGTGAGGCTGAAGAAGTGACAAGTCTCATGCTCACCCCCTCCAGGCTTCCTCACACCCAGCCCACTGACTTATACAGAGTGACAGATTCTACTTTATTTGGGGTCCAGGTTCCTGCCTTGAGCTTTCTATCTCAGTGACAATCATGCTGTGTGGCAGCTTTTGACAAGATGACAGCGATTATAAAGGTCAGAGCAGCACCGCTAGGCCTCACTGGCAGAGGGTGTGCAGCAGGCACCTGTCACCCTTGCTGGGCCACCACAGAGCATGAATGACAACAGGCATCCTCCCCTGAGGTCTGCAGGCCCGTGTGTATCCTGGGGACATGATCACAGAATGGAAGCTCCCAGGTTGCTTGCAAACTGGGATGTGCAAGAAAAGACCCTGCACATGTGTGGGGTCTCTCTCCACGTCCACACCTTGCACAGGTCACAGGGTCAGAGATAGGAGAAGTCAGAGAGCTTCCACCCACAGTGGGCTCAGCTGGAGATGCTTTCACCCTGGATGTTCTTTAACCATTTCCCTCCCCTACCTGAGCCCAGTGGAGAGATAGGGGAAGAATCAGGGGTCAGTGATGAAAGTCTTAGTACCAGCTCCTGTTGGTGAGGGTCACCGGCTTCCAGATCCTGTGCAGTCATTGTGAACTCCATTGCTTCTATGTCCCACTGCAGATCTGATAGTGGGTGGTGGGTGTTGTTATTTCAACTGCTTAGAGATGAAATTGGAGCTGGTAGACACTCAATAATTTGCCCCGGTTTTGTACCCATGAGCAGCAGAGCTCAGATATGAGCACTGCTCTGTCTGACCACAGCCTTCTGCACTGTAGTCTTACAGTTCAGAGCACCACAGCCAGGACCAGCTTCCTGAGTCTGCATCCAGCTGCATCCAGCTGGGTGCTGCTACCAGTGGGAGCTTGTGCTTATCATCCACCTCAACTCTACAAATCCCAGTGATATGGATGCACAAACTGGCATGCACACAGCTCATTCAGAGAGAAGGCTTCTAATAGAAACACAACTGCACAGGATCATCCCACACTGATGGAGAGACCCTCTTGAGGGAGACATGGCTTCCTTGGATGCCTTTGTTAGGCTCTGTTACTACCATGACACTGAACTATGTCCATGAACTATGTCCAATTCTTTTCTTTATCCACCAAAATAATCATGTTTTTCTTCTCCATCTTTTCTGATGAGGAAAATCACATTGATATTTTATATATTGAATCAGGCTTGCATTTCTGGTGTGAGCCCTAATTAATCTTGATGTATTATGTTTTTATGGGTAGTTTGAATTCATGTGGTAAGTATTGTTGAGAGTTTTAAGCATCAATATATATTTAATTTTTTAAAGAAACTTTTTGGTTTTATATTTTAAAAACTAAATTTATTTATGGTCACCTTTTTGCAATATATGTATGTAAGTCTGTACCATTATGTGGTATACTTTAAAATCATACAGAACTATATGTCAATAACCTCTCAATCAATCTTTGAGATAAAAGTAATTACACACATCCACACAAAACACCTGGCATACACATGTCATACAGTCACACAGGTATATATCAATGTACACTTCCATGCTGGACAGATTTCCATACAATCGTGTCATATATACACACACATCACACACTCACACAATACTCGCATGCACACCACACACACATACCATATACAATCCACTCAGACCACACAGACACCACACACACAATCAAGCGACATACGGAAACACACTAATACACATATGCCACAATCAGAACAGCCACACCACTTGAATGCATCACACACACACACACACACACACACACACAAGCACTTTTGTTTAGATCTGTGACTTGGGTCTTACCTCCTAAACAGACAAAGTGTGTGTCCCCAGCCATGGCTTCCATACACGAATTTTTCACGAGCTGGGCAGAGGGGTGGCAGGGTCAGGGAGACTGATAGCAGGGACATGGGGAAAAGACAGCCCACCTCCCCTCTCATGTTTAGCCCACACTCACCGACGTAACAAATGATTCTGAAGAATTGAATTCCTCTGTCCCATACATTTGGTCCTTTCTTTCTACAATATCATTCAACTACAAGAGAGAGGAGATGCTTGTCACACAGCCAGGAGTTGAGAACACAGCAGTCTCATCTTAGGAGACAGACTCTTGCCTCCTGCCATGTTGGACTCTAAGAGCCACACCCTGGTGTCTGTCAGCAGCCCACCCTCAGAGAGTGGAAACCCCACCCTCAGAGACTGGAAACTCCACCCGCACCTCTGGTGTGTAGGTTTACACAACACTTGCTATTCATCTGCCATGACTACCTGTTGTCCAAACATTTGAGCTGGGGTCGAGGGCCATTGTCTGGATGACCTTGGGACAGCTGCCTTTGAAAACTTTCCCCAGCTGGGCTCAAACATGGCACTTGGTTATCTGTTCTGAATTACCTGATCTCTCTCATAGTCTTTTACACCCACGCAGTAAACCTTGGCCCCCATATCCCGAGCCTGTTGAGCCTAAGAGAAAAAAAGTTTTGAGTGGAAACACCCAGACACAGGGAGTACAAAACTGGTAATGGTGGACAGGACTCACTTCCTTCTTTGTGTCCTGTAATGTCCTTGGTAGCAGTGGCCCTGCAGTTAGGGTGATAATCAGGCTGGAAGTATTCCTGTCTAGAGAGGAAGCAAGGGATGGCCTGGTTAGCAAGGCACCTGAAGTGACCTGCCTCAGGCTGTCAGGCCTGCAGCTCTTCTCCTGTACCTCCTCCTCCTGGGGAGGGGCTACCCTGACCCCAGAACAGCCACCCAGAGCGCTTGGAGGGACAGAGGACTTAGCCTAGGACTTATGTGAAAGATGAGGAGCCTGAGACTGGTTCAGAGCGCTTCCTGGTGGACCCTCACTAGGGGCAGGTGGACAGCCTTTATCCTGAATGGCAACTGCAGCTACTTCCCTGGCAAGGACAAGCCTCTCAGCTGAGCTCAGAGAGGAGCAGCCAGACTGACTGCCAGAGGCCTGAGCAGCGGCCCCCGCCCAGCTCCCTGCCTTTCCCCAGAAGCCTCTGCATCTTTCCTGATGAGGGCTGCAAACCTACAGTCTACATGCCGATGGTTCTGGGTGGAGCACAGCCTTTCCCACTGTTGGAAACACCGACACAGGACGAGAGTCAACCAAAGGGGACAGGCTGCAGGGAAAGGAGGCAGGCAGAGCCAGGACCGTGGTGGACAGAGTATGGGCAGCCAGGGGGACACCAAGGTCTCTGCTCCCTAAACTGAACTCCGCTTACTCACTCACTGTCCCTGGAATTTCTCTGCTTTTTCATGCAGCCCAACTGTAGGTCAAGCACTTGATATCTAGTAAGAACCAGGAATGTAATGCATGACCCCTTGTGGTTCTCAGAAACATCCCTGGGGGAGCTTTTCATCCTCACTGCGGGGAGGAGGAAATTGCAGCACAGAGTGAGCAAGGAGCTTGCTCCAAGAGTCAGCGCTAGGAGCTGGCCGAGGAGGGTCTGCACCAGCCCTCGCTGAGGCCGGGCCTGGCTCTGTCCCACCTGAGCACAGTGATGTCAGCGGGCAACTTACTTCCTGAGGTAGCTTGTTGAATCTGTTTATTTGCCTGCAACACATTGAAAGAATGTTGGCGGATGAACCAATAATACTCTTAAGAACTTGACTAAGCAGAATAAATTTTCAGAGTTGGCTTGTACCTTTTTCAATCCTTCCTGCATGTTTGTGGCTCCTGTAGGCACTATATTCTGAAGTCTTTTAAGACCATCACGTATTTTTGTTCTAAAAACATATCGGAAAAGAGGGTAGAGGGGGAATAAAGGTTGATGACTACAAAATAGCCCCAGCTGTCCTGGCACCAGACCTGTCTGGACCAGAGAGGATACAAGTGATCCTGTCCTGACCCTTCTGCCCATGTCTTTGATGCTGACAGGACTAACCCTAATCCTGCTTTGACCCCTACTCAGTGAGTATGGAAGATGCTGCTTTGCTGGTCCCATGAATATGGCTGCCTTTCAACATGCTCATCCCTGTCTCAGGCACCCAAACCTCAGAGACTCAGCAAGGATCCTGCTTTGACTATCTATCCATAGGTGGATCTGGCACCCCCATTATGACTGGCCATACTGCTGGCACCTAAGGGGTCCCTAGTAAGGGCATTATCTTCCAACAGGGAAGCCTGAGTTTGGGAAGTCACTTTGCTGATACTCTTGCCCTGACCCCACCTCCCCTGCCTCAGACCCCTGTAATGGACTTGGTCCCTCCAAGCCACTTCCCTCACTGGATTGATGCTAACGGAAATAGTCAATCTGCTCTATTAGAGTCTAGGACTCCTGGGCTTCATGTGCTACTGAAGAAACAGACCATAAATGGGGAAGAGGCCTGAGGAGTGTCCATGCGGGCTGAAGAGCAGTGACCCCAGGCTGCCACAGGGATCTCTGTTGGCCTCTGTTAATGCAGGTTACAAGGGATGGGACTGGGACAGGCCAGGGGGTGGGGCTTAGGTTCAGGTTTATCCTGTGTGATGGGCTGACCTGTCACAGCACGTCTTAGAGAACGTGGCACCTGAAGGCTGGCTCTTGCCTCAGGCAGAAGGAATTCTGCCATGAGCTGAAATCTGAGAGCCCCTGGTCCTGCCCTGCCTGACCTACCATGGGAACTGAGGAGGCCTGTGATCAGGGCCACTGGAGGCCAAACCAGGCCCTGCCCATCCCACTCGTCCTGTCACTTTTGGGAGGATTTCTGTTTCGTTGACAACACCTGCAAATATGCTGGAACTCTGATCCACCAGCCTTTTTCTTGGACTGCCCTCCCTGCCACCTGCTCAGTCTCGACTCCCAGCTCCATGCATGAAGAGGACACTAGCCTGCTTATGTCCCCACGAAGCCCTTAACTTCTTAAAACTCCATTACCCTTTTCCCGTCCCCTCATCCCCACTCCTCTTCTGACACTTTCCTTTGAGAAAGACAGCCTCATCTCCACTCTCCAGAGAGGACTGGGAGCCCCTTAGGAGCCTCCCCCACAGGTCGCTTGGTTCAGACTGAATCCCTTGTCTAAAGGAGTCAGCGGTCCTCCTCTCCCCCACGGCAGCTCCTCTACCAGAGGCCCCCCGTCTCTCTCTCTTCCACCTGCCTGACAACTCCCCCTCACTTGCTGCTTGCAGCTCACGCTCACTCAGGTCTCTCTCTCCATAATGCAGACCACAGGGACACACAAAACCATGCCTTCCCCAGCACACTGAACAGGAAGCCCCAGTCCCTGCTTCTCCTGGGAGCCAGGCCTGGGGAGGCTGTCTCCATGTACCGACACCCCACACTCTCTGGGTTTCAGTCATTTGCACCATGAGCATCTTAAGCTCCTGGTTACTCATGAGCTCCATATCTGCCACCTCCAGGCCTTTGGGCACACCTAGGATGCTGGTGTGTCATGCTTCCCTCCTGACCCCAGCCCAGCCTGGTTATTCAGAACCACATTCATGGGCTCCCTTGTCTCAGAGATCCACCAAGGGATCAATCCACTGAAGTTCTAGCACTTCAGCATGCCCATCCCTGCCTCCTGGCTCTGCCTCTGCCTCCCCGCTTCCCCCATGGCCCAGAGCGGAGACTGACACAGAGCAGGAGCCGACACAGGACAGTGCTCGCAAGGGGCCCTCATCTGCTCCTCCAGGTCCCAGGAGTCCTCAGAGTGAGCCAGTTCTAAGGAACGAGAAGAGGGCTGAGAGGACAGGACAAGTGGAGGGCTGGGCTTAGAGAAGGTGGAGATATCTAGCACCATGGGGTCTACCAATGCCAGCTCAGCAAGAGGTCAGTGGGAGGGAGCCAGGACTGGGGGTCAGAGTGGACACTGACAGTCCAGGATGGCCTAGTCTGCACCTAATGGGTCCTTATGATGTCTCACGGAACCCTCAGTTTCCTGGTTTTTCCTGTGACCCCTCCCACCATGCCTGCCTTGGCGGATTAAAATAGCACTTGCCTGTCTGAGGTGAGCTTCATGATGATGTTGCCCTGTGTGGAGTAGGTGATGAAGGACATCTGCAGGTTAGGGCTGGAGAAGAAGTATGCAAACGAAGCCAATGAGCAGCCAGGAAGGGAGTGCTTGCCAGTTTCTCTGCTCCCATTCCAACTCTTTTGCTTTGGGGTTATTTCCTGAACCCTGGAGGTTCCTATAACTTAGTGAAGGATTCTGAGGCCTATGGGGATGTGGGACCTTCTTGCTCCATCCCTATACTCCCACCCCCACTCCAAATCTCCTTCTGTCTCTCTTTCTCTCTCTCACACAGGCATGCACATGGCACATGCACCAGAAGATAGGCACCTATCCACTTTTGCATGAGCCTCTCAACTGGCCTCTTTTCTACTGTAATATTCTTTGTAACTTCACTCCTTTTCCCTCCTTGCCCACTTTCCCCATGTCCAGTTCATATCAAAGAAATTCAGTTCAGTTCAGTTCAGTCCCTCAGTGGTGTCCGACTTTTTGCGACTCCATGAACTGCAGTATGCCAAGCCTCCCTATTCATCACCAACTCCCGGAGTTCAACCAAACCCATGTCCATTGTGTCGGTGATGCCATTCAACCATCTCATCCTCTGTCGTCCCCTTCTCCTCCTGCCCTCAATCTTTCCCAGCATCAGGGTCTTTTCAAATGAGTCAGCTCTTCGCATCAGGTGGCCAAAGTATTGGAGTTTCAGCTTCAACATCAGTCCCTCCAATGAACACCCAGGACTGATCTCCTTTAGGATGGACTGGTTGGATCTCCTTGCAGTCCAAGGGACTCTCAAGAGTCTTCTCCAAAACTACAGTTCAAAACCATCAATTCTTCGGTGCTCAGCTTTCTTTATAGTCCAACTCTCACATCCACACATGACTACTGGAAAAACCATAGCCTTGACTAGACAGACTTTGTTGACAAAGTAATGTCTCTGCTTTTTAATATGCTGTTTAGGTTGGTCATAACTTTCCTTCTAAGGAGCAAGCATCTTTTAATTTTATGGCTGCAATCACCATCCACAGTGATTTTGGAACCGAGAAAAATAAATCAGCCACTGTTTCCACTGTTTCCCCATCTATTTGCCATGAAGTGATGGGACCAAATGCCATGATCTTAGTTTTCTGAATGTTGAGCTTTAAGCCAACTTTTTCACTCTCTTCTTTCACTTTCATTAAGAGGCTCTTTAGTCCTTCTTCACTTTCTGTCATAAGGGTGGTGTCATCTGCATATCTGAGGTTATTGATATTTCTCCCAGCAGTCTTGATTCCAGCTTGTGCTTCTTCCAGCCCAGCATTTCTCATGATGTGCTCTGCATATAAGTTAAATAAGCAGGGTGACAATATATGGCCTTGATGTATTCCTTTTCCTATTTGGAACCAATCTGTTGTTCCATGTCCAGTTCTAACTGTTGCTTCCTGACCTGTGTACAGGTTTCTCAAGAGGCAGGTCAGGTGGTCTGGTATTCTCATGTCTTTCAGAATTTTCCACAGTGTATTGTGATCCACACAGTAGAAGGCTTTGGCGTAGTCAAGAAAGCAGAAATAGATGTTTTTCTGGAACTTTCTTGCTTTTTCGATTATCCAGTGGATGCTGGCAATTTGATCTCTGGTGCCTCTGCATTTTGAAAGAAATTATTCTAGCTCATTTCAGCCTTTCACACATCTCTCCCTTCTCTCTCCTTCCACTGTCTTATGGTCCATTGACCCACATTATTTTTATTTTATTTGCTACTATAGGTCCTTAGCTATGCTCCTTGCTGCTCTTGGTTTTTGTTACAAATCATTTTAACCACTGTTAGCAGACTTTGGTACCTGGAGGACATCATGCATCATATTAGACACTTGCTCAAGAATCAACTTATAGCTTCCAAATGCTCACAGCAGGAATTTTAAGTCCCTTGCCTTGGCATCATGAGCCTTAAAGGTTTTGGCCCCATGCTGTCCTGTCCCAGTTCACCTTTCAACCTTCCCCATAGTTAACTGTACTCTCTAGTCAAACAGGCCACTCATTCGACAAGAAATCTGCAGTTTGTTCACGTTACCCTGTCTTTCCCCATTCTTCAAATCTAGTCCAAAATTTCAGATCCCCTAGGACATCACACTTGACTTTCAAAAAAGAATAGTTGCTTTTTCCTTAAAGTTGGAAGCAATTCCTTTGCACTTTTCTTTTAACCCTTGGCACCATTTAACTCTGTGTTTGGTTACTGGTTTGCCTGTTTCTTAATCTGTGAGGTCCTCAAGGGCAGACTGTGTCTCTTACAATGTGGCCTGACTCACAGGCAGGAGCCAAGAAAACTGTTAAGACCCGATAGAAGCAGACTGATCTGTTTTTTCTGCTTCAGAACACCCCCGCTCCAGGCTCTGTGCTCCTGACCATAGAGACTTCTATGACCACCAAATCTAGAGAGCTGTGTACCCAGCCCAGAAGAGGAAAACAACCATACTTTGTGTACTTCATCGATATTTCATCCACTAATTGGCAAATGTCCTCCCAAATATCTTTTGCCTTCTGTGACCTGAAATCAAAGAAGACTTGAGTCAGAGACATGAGGAGCATCCATTCAGTGGGTAGAGTTTCTGCCTCCCCAGATTCCAGTAGAAACTTTAGCAAAACCTTCCCATCCCAGGTAGTGCAAGGCTGCCACACTACCTCAGCGACCTCGGTGGGTCACCCTAATGGTGACTTTCATCACTGTGAGTGCTAGGGTGGGTGACCAACCAGACCCATGGGCAGGGGGATGAGGAACTTCGGGTGGCAAACCAGGAGGGTCGATCATTTTACTTAAGGCTTCAAGACAAGGGAATAAGGAAAGATGCATTAAAAAATTCTGCTATGCTGGCTCTCATGTCCCTCACTTATGGGCATCCAAGGGCACCACGGCCTCAGGCCAGGGAGGGTGTTATAGCATTTTATTTCCATTTTCTTCTCATCAGCTTTAAAGTTGAGCCACTCTGGATACTGAAGGCCTTTTCTGGGACCACTGTCTGGGAGGGGCTGAACATGGCCTGGGATACTGCTGTCCTGGCATCATGATACCCCACCAGCAGGGAAAGCTACAGGCCCTTCCTGGTTCTTCTTCCACTTGCTCCCTTTGTCTGTAACTTTAGTGCCAGGATGGAGACTGAGGACGCTTAAGACAGTGGGGCCTGAGGAAAGTGCTGTGCTTTCAGATAAGCCTGGCCTATTCCACTGTAGCCATACTCTAGACTTACATCTCACTGACCCTCAGCTCCTTTTCCTGTTTGTAGAATTCAGGATTCAGTCCTGTTACTCTCACCAGCCTCTGGGCTACTTTATCCAATGTCTAGGAGCCTGCCCTCTTTCCTGTTGATTATAAATGCAAATTACATTCCCTACTTTCCCTCCATATGTTTTAAAGATAGCAGATGTTCATTAAAGCAATTTGGGGACTGTAAAGTGCTTCAGTGATATTGAGAGTCATATCATTGTTACTACTGAGTGAATAAAATTTATCCTCAGCCCTGGGCATCCTTGATAGCTCAGATGGTAAAGAATCTGCCTGCAATGCAGGAGACCTAAGTTCAACCCCTGGGTCAGGAAGATCCCCTGAAGAAGGGAATGGCAACTCACTCTATTATTCTTGCCTGGAGAATTCCATGGAGAGAAGCCTAGCAGACCACAGTCTATGGAGTCACAAAGAGTTGAACACGACTGACTCATGAACACACACACACACACATCATCAGTCCCACAGAGGTGTTGGCAATGGAACCAAGGCAATCTCTCCAGTCTGAGGACCTGCCCCTCCCTTTCTTTCCTTGATTGCCAGAAGATACTTAATAAGAGCCCAGGTTTCCCAAGGTCATAGGCAGACAGACCAAACTGTTCAGAAAGTGAACACAACCATTCACGTGGGTGTCCAAGTTGTCAAAGAAAGCAGCAAAACATTTAAATCTGCAAATCAAAGGACTTGTAAGTAGTGACACCATGAGAATGTTTAACAGATGACATGTCAATCTCTCTGGAGGCAGTAGAAATAGAAGTCACTGGGATAAATAAAAAAAAACTGAAACCAAACAAACCCAGAAACCACAATGAGCTTCTCCCAAATGCTGAGAAGACAGCACTTAGCAATCAGCTGCCCCTCCAGCTGATTAAGAGACATGCAGGTCACAGATCCAGGTCAATTTGATGGAGAGACTGACAACCATCCAGCAACCCTATGGTGTTTTGTTTACTTTCCAAAATATAAATGTTCTAGTGGCGACGAAGGCCTGGGGCACTCCTTCTAACTCAGGAACAAGGAGGACACAGAGGTCTATTCCTTGGGTCTAATTAAGACTATTCTTGTCTCATCAGTGGCCCTGTCACTGTCATGAAGTGGTTCTGTAGACAGAGGTTCCCTGAAGAGCATCTGGGCCAGGTAGGAGAGCCACTCACGCGTCCACTATGAAGTACAGGTCAAAGGCACCCTTGCAGGATTTCAGCTTCTCCCAGGTGCTTCCGTGATGTCTGGTGCCCAGGTGGAAGCTTCTCGAGCTTGGGGGGTGGTGCAGGAATCTCCCTCGGCTAAGCGGTAGAGGCTGCAGCCCGAGCATCAGAAAGAGCATGGAGCCCAGCATCCCAGGCCCAACATTCCCCATTTTCTTTGGCACCCGCCGTGGTCCCACTGGACCGTGGCCACTTCAGGCCATCTCAGGCCGTGGCATCTGCTACCTCCGCCGGTTCCCAGGGACCACCACTCCCCCAGCCCTTTCACCGAGGTGTACTGGTGCTGTAGGCCCCCCTGATATCTGCCCTGAGTGCAGAAGAGGCAAGAGGCTGGCCTTGGGGGATGGTCCCGCTATCTGCACAATCCTCCTCCGCCCCGAGGAGGCAGAATTTGCTGTGATGTCCCTTATGAGGGACAGGGTGGTTGGCATGGTGACTTTGTGACCCGTAGGTCTACTCAGTGTCCTGCCTGCTGACAATGCCCAGAGGGAGACATGGGAGGGGGAAGATGAGGCTTCCATTTGTTCTTCATCCCGGACATTCTCAGGAGGCCGTAATTCCTTCAAAAAGCCTGCCTTTTTGTCAAGTGAAAGAAGGCAGCTGAGGTGATTTACATGAGGACATCACTGTTGGGTCAAAAATTGGCAGCCTGGAGTGCTGCAGTGGTCAGTTGTGTGTGACCCAGTGGATGGATAGAAGGATCTAGAAGGGAAAGAAGGCCTGCAAGGATGTCAAAGTTCTTTGTGAATGTGGGACATTTTCAGTTATCTTCTTCTGTGTAGCAAATCACCCCAAACTGAGTCACATAAATGAGAACTATTTTATTATGCTCCTAGGTTCTGTGACCAGAAATCAGAGAAGGTTGAGTGGCAGTGGCTTCTCTCTGTTCTATGTGGGCATACACAAATCTAAATAAAAAATGATTAAAAAGCTAAGGATGTGAATTTGAAGCTTTTTGGAAACACCTTAACCAATTTATTTTATGTGCATAAAGGAAGAGTGATATATGTTAAAAATCCTTCTCTAATAAGTCTAGATCTTTCAACAGGCAAAATAAACATTAGAAGTGATCAAAAGCATTTTTGGAGTAGTATTTAAAATAATGGAGTACCTGATATATGGTGTTTTGGAGTTGAGGAAATCTGGTGTACTTCTCCCTAAAGCCTACTAGATTTTCCTAGCTTCACATTCCTCGTGACACTTGATATTGTCATATTTTGTATATTTTCAGATCAATTTAGCATCTCTTAGTGGTCATCATTTGTATTTCCCTCATTATGATGTGATTGGTCTTTTTGAGATTTAGTCTCCTGTCTGAAGGCGATAACAGGTACCAGAGCTTTTTCCAATTAGTTCTTGAAAGATTATGTGCTTGGTAAACCTAGAATGTGAACCTACATGTGATCAGCAGCCTTTTACAGAGAATGTTCACGTGTAGGACCCCATGTCTTAGTACCTAGAGTTGAAAGTCCCAGTCAAGATTTTTCTTATAGCCCTGTCCTCATCAGACACCACTTGATGTTTCTGAGAAAGGACTTTGATCAGAAAAGCAACTACACAGGATCCTCCCCACACTGATGCAGGTACCCTCTCAAGGCAGAGATGGCTTCCTGGTCAAGTTTCAGATCTCAGAGAGACACCAACCCCATTGAGCACTGAGTGTAATGTTAGTTGTGCATTTTGTGTGGATGCCTTTTATTATCCTGTTCCTATTGTGATGCTGAACTTGAACCGTTTCCAACTATTTTCTTCCTTTTTCGAGATAATCATGTTTCCCTTCTCCATTTTGCCAATGTGGTAAATTATATCGATACTACAAACCTGAATTAGACTTGCATTTATGGGGTGAGCCCTAATTAGTCTTGATGTATTGCCCTTTTTGTACTTTGTTGGATTTCATTTGCTAGTGTTATGTTCAGGGTTTAAAATATATATTTTCTTATTTTTTAATTTTAATTTTGAGTTTTAAAAAAGTAATTATCCTAGCTTCATCCCAGCTCTAGTTATACACTGGTAGATCTGGAAAGGACTGTGAATATACTTTAGCCCAAATTTAGCATAATGATGAGAAATTTGGGCTGAAAGAGGTGAGTGATCAGTTCAAGGTCACTCAGTACAGTGATGTGTCTGCCTCTGTCTCTCTTCAAGGAGCATTGGCCAACACTAATCTTAGATGTCAATGGCATCCCCTTTGAGGAATCACTTTCAGAATAATATTAGGAGAGACTCAGATGCTGACGGTGGTACAGTTTAGATGTCCTTTCAGGATGACAAAGCTCATGAGACCCAAAGACACATATTTGGGAGTCCTATATTTCCTCAGGAGCTGTTAGAAGTGCAAGGAAGTTAGACAAAGAATCTGACTTTTTCATGGAGTAAATAAACATTCAGGAGAAGTTAGAGTTAAGGTAGGAGAGGATGCTTAAACTCTCAACGTGCCCTCACTTGGTGTTTGGGTCACATGGTAGGTTTGCTATTCATCACTGGGGGTTCTGGGAGGGTAACATGTCCAGTGCAACCAAAGCAGGCTTTGAGGACACACACTTGAGTTTCAATTCCAGTTGCACTGCCTCCTTGCAGGGGACATTGGGCAAGATGCTTAGTAAGGCAGGATCTGGGCCCTCCTTATCTGTGAAGGATGATGATGCCAGGTATATGGAAGATGGAAGGAGGTGAAATATGTAAAACACGTGTCACAAGCACTTTTTGTCAAGATCGTGAGAAGGGTAGGTAGTTGTGATGCCTCTTACAGGTGGGGCAGGAGGCAGGGCAAGAGGAAGAAGCTTGAGTTGAACCTAAATGATGTCCCTATCAGGAAGGAGCAGAGCTGCCCATGCCTCAGGTCCTCCTGGGCTCAGGACACATATTTCTTATAACTCAGAACACTCAGTGGAGTATGGTCCAGCAAACGTCTCACAAACTGAAGAAACGCTTCAAGATGGGTGTCCTAGCTTCAAGAACTTGCTTGTGGAGTTGATCAGGGAAAGGCAGGGATGAATGCAATGCCATCTTTAAAACAATCTTGACAGAGATTGCACTGAAGGCATAGATGGCATTAGGGAGTCTGGACAATTTACCAATATTGATTAGTCTGATCCATGAACATAAATCATCTTTCCATTTATTTATGCCTTCTGCAGTTTATGTTATCAATGTCTTATACTCTTAATATACAGATCTTTCATCTATCGGTTAAATTTATCTTTAATTATTTTATTGATACTATTGTATATGGGATTGCTATCTTTATTTTTTCAGATCCTTCATTGCTACTCCATAGAAATGCTAGTAATTTTTCTATGATATTTTTATTCTGCAACTCTACTGAATTTGTTGATCACATCTAATGTTATTTTGTAGAGTCTCTAGGATTTTCTGGCTCAGTGGTAAAGAATCTGCTGGCAATACAAGAGATCTGGGTTCGATTAACATCAAGATTGATGTTAATTGGTGAACTGTCATATATGGACTTTTTTGTTGAGGTATGGTCCTTCCATACATGTGTTGAGAGTTTTTATTAGTAATGGATGTTGAATTCATTTAAATGCATTTTCTGCATCTACTGACATGGACATACGACTTTCTTCTTTCAATCTATTAATGTGACATCACATTTACTGTTTGGTGTGTGTTGAACCATACTTGCATTCTACTAACTGTGTGCTTATTTAGTTCCTTAGGCTGAACTATTTCTTTTTCCTTAAAATAATAATTTACTTCTATAAATGTCATCCTTAGAAATGTTTTTGATGCATACCACATGATTTTGTTTATATATTGTCTTTACTTTTTCATTTTTCAAGATATTTGTCTATTTTTGTTTTGAAAAAGTCTTCTCTGATCCATTGGTTACAGATGTGTGTGGTATGTAATTTTCATGTGTTTGAGAATTTTCCAGCTTTCCTCATGATATTCATTCCTAGTTTCATACCACTGTGTTTGGAAAAAATACATGCCATGATTTTGATCTCCTTAAACTTATCAAGAATTACCTGGAGCCTAAAATATGATCTACTTTAGAAAATGGCCCATAGGTACTTAAGAAAATTGTGTAGTCTGCTGCTATTGGATGAAATATAATATATATGGCTTTTTAGGTCTGGTTTTGTTCAAATCAGCTGCTTCCTTATCAATTCTCTATCTGGATGATTTTTCCATTGTTTAAAGTGGATGTTAAAATCTCCACCTTTTACTGTATTATTTATTTCTCCTTGCATGCATGCTGGGTCGCTTCAGTTGTGTCCAACCCTTTGCAATCCTATGGACTGTAGCCTACCAGGCTCATCTGTCCATGGGATTCTCCAGGCAAGAATACTGGAGTAGACTGCCATGTCCTCCTCCAGGGGATCTTCCCGACCCAGGGACTGAACCTGCAGCTTCTGCATTGCAGGCGGATACTTTACCGCTAAGCCACTGGGGAGGCCCTTATTTCTCCATGTGCTTTGTTAATAACTGCTTTATATACTTAGATGCTCTGAAGCTGGGTGCATAAATGTGTGCAATTGCTGTTTTCTTGATAGATTGACTTTTTTTTTTTATCATTATACAATGACCTTTTTCCCTAGAGCATTTTTAGCTTAAAGTCTATGTTCCCTATAAGTATCAGGTATAGGTATTGATGTTGTCTTATGCTTACCATTTGCTAGAGTCTCTTTTCCCATTCCATCACTGTTAGTCCTTGTGTGTCTTTAAGGCTAAAGTAATTCTCTTATGGGCAGCATATTGCTGGACCTCTTTTTTAAGCTATCAAAAAAGCTTATTAAGCTTTAATACATTAAGCTATTTTATGTGTTTTTAATTGAATTTATTTTATGTTTAAAGTAATTATTGATATGTAAGTACTTACCATTGCCATTTTGTTAATTTTTTCAACTGTTTTCTAAATTCATTTTTCCTAGCTTCTTATTGTGCTGTCTTCTGTTATTTTATAACTTTTAGTAGGGGGTATACAAAGAGTCCTCTTTCATCTTTGGTATATCTACCAGAGCTTATTTCTTTGTGGTTATCATGAAGCATACCTAAAATATCTAATATTTATAATGTCTTATTTTAAGCTGATAGCATACCTAAATTTTTCCTTTATTTCTTCCTCCTTCATGTTAGGCTATCAATATGACAACTCACATACTTTATGTTTTGTGTCCAGTAAGAAATTCTTGTAGTTATGGCTGTTTAATATATTTTTTAACCTTTTAACTGGTATTCTGAGTGAATTATGCACTATCATGACAATATTACAGGATCGGCCATTACTGGTGAGTTTTACAAACTTCTTACATTTTCACGATACTAATTATTATTCATTTATTTGTGCTTGATGAAATTCCTGCAGCATTTCTTATACAGCAGATTTTCTGGTGATGAACACTTTCAGCTTTGTTTTGTTATTGTTTCTTTGGTATGTTTTCAATATCTCTTTCATTTCTGAAGAGTAAATTTCCTGGATACGATATTCTTCCTTGACAGTTTTATTTTCTTTCTATATTTGAATACATCATTCCCTCTCTCCTGGTCTGCAAAGTTTCTACTGAGAAGTCTCTCTTGAGTGTTATGATGGTGTCTTACATGTGGTGACTTTTTTTTTTTTCTTGTTGCTTTAAAAATTGCTTGTGTCTTTGACCACAGACTATTTACTCACAATGTGATTTCCTGTAACCGTTGCATGCTCAAGCTATTTGGGATTCTTTGAGCCTCATGAATCTGGATGTATTTCTCATTCCATGTTTGGTAAGTTTTCAACCATTTTGTCTCCAATATACTTTCTTTTCTCTCTCTCTTCTCATATGGGACTTCCATAATTCACTATTGTTTCTACTGATAATGTCCCAGAGTGTATTGTTACTCTTTTTAATAATTTTTTTTTCTTTTCACTCCTATGACAGGATAATTTCAAATGATCTACCTTTTAGTTCACTGATTCTTTCTTCTCCTTGCTTGAATTTATTGTTGAAATACTTTATTATATTTTTCCATACAGTGTTTTATTTTTCAGCTCTAGTGTTCATTGTTTTGATTTTCTTTGTTGAACTTCTCATTTTGTTCATGCATTTTCCCCCTGAATTTCATGTAGTTGTCTGTCCATGTTTCTTGCATTTCACTAAACTACTTTAAGAGGATTGAATCCTTTATAAGAGAGTTCATAGATCTCTATTTATTTAGAGAATTTTATTCATTTCTTTTCATCATCTCATGTTTACTTGATTCTTAATGGTCCCTTATTTGTTGTGCTGGTATGTGCACAGTTGAGGCAGTAGCCACTTCTACTCATCTTGGACTCTTTAGTCCAGGGTGTTGATTCATCTTCATAAATATGTCGTGTGATCTTCACAATGAATTCTTGTCTACTGATAGTCCTCTAGCATGTAAGCGTGCAAGGAAACCTGATCATGTCTTCAAAGACTTCTTCAAAAGAGATCTGGAAAATTGGGAGGTCCACCTGTTATCAGAGGAGCTGATAGGAAATTGGAAACTAGGAATTAACTTTATGAGAAAAATTAAGGTACAGGAGGGGAACTCATGTTTGTGAAAGACAAAGTAGGTATAAGGACATTTTCTGATGGTATCTTGGAGATTACATGGGTGGTGGCCTTTGATGTTAACTTACATGTGGTTAACAGTTTTCAGAGAATTCTCATGTATGCCAACCCTTTGTCATGGTATCCAGCACTTAAAGTTCCAGTCATGATTTTTTCTAGCATCTTTTCACTCACCACACACTTCCTGATGTCTCTGAGCTCATAACTGTCTCCTTCCCTGGGGAAGGGGAGAACATCTTAAAGACTTGGTCCCTGAGTCTTTACAAGTGACCTGGCCTTGCGCTGAGCATGTTGCAGCAGTTACTGTCGCCCTCTTTTTAGAAGAGACACCATTGTCCACGTCTTTTCAGTAAGGAAATTGAAGTACAGGGAGATTAAGTAACTCACCCAGGAGATTAAGTAACAGCAAGCGAGTAATGGACACCAGACTATTTCCATATATCAGATATTTTGGGCTTTCTTTAAAGAGCATATTTCGTCTAGCACCCCATGCATCTCAACCCTTGGTGACAGATGGAGATCTGTCTTGTGGGAATGGGACTCATCCTGTCTACATCAACAGGACACCAGGGTGCCTTGTCCTGGTAGGAGAGTACAGTTGAGTCTCATACAGAGGAGCAGTGCTCCCCAGGTAAGGAACTCTCCTGCTGATCAGAAACTAATTCCAGCTCCTTTTGACTGTAATCCAAAACACAAGATATATATTGTATTTTATATATATATGTGTGTGTGTGTCTAATTGGTACAAAAGGGGCTCTTAATGTTCAGTTTTAAGTTGTTTAGATGTTGAGCTATGGGGGCGGGAGAGATGTAGTACTTCTGTAGACCTCTGGGGGAGGGATCAGCGGTAACGTCCTGGACGGTGGCTGAGAGCATATCGGTGGGGGATGCTGACAACGTGAGCAGCAGATATTGAGGGGGAGGCACTCTTCACTAGGTTGAAGGCAGATCTCTGAGTCATAGAGCATTGGCATGCACTGAGGATTCATTAAGGCAAAGTCGATGCACCTCCCCTGTATGAAGAAGAGTAGAAATAGAATATCACTGAGAAGCCGCTGGACTTGGGAGTAGAAGGCTGTGGTTCCTTGGCTCAAGGAGATCAAGCTCAGTACCCCCTCAGGATTCCCAGGGCAAGCCTTTGTTAATGCCATTCCTCTTTCTGGGTGTTGGCCTCCAGGCTGTGCTCCTATTTCTAGACTCTGTTCAGACATTGGAACCTCCTCTCCCTTTTCCCCTGTTTTTCTGACTGTGGATCCCCTTTGCTCGGTACTGAACTTGTCCGCTCCCCTGTGCACTGGGAGCCCGTGGAAGGATAAGTGCTGATTGCCACAGCAGCCCCAGCACTGCCCAGGCTCTCCTGGTGACTGTGTGCTCAAAGGGTGAGTCCTCACCACAGCCTTCAGTCTGAGCTCTGGGCCCACAGGGCAAGGGCAGACGATGGTGCCCTCAGATGGGTGATGGGCTGTTAAGGCAGCAGCACATACAGATCTTTCGGTTTGGGTAGAGATGGCCAGAGACCCTTTGGGACAGCATAATCTGCAGTATCAGTTGCTCCCAGCTTTGCCATCATGTCTCACTAGTCCCCTGCTGAGGGTCCTGGATGTGACAAGAAGGGTAACCTCAGCACACTGACCAGCTGACACCAACTCTGGGCTGCTCAGGATGAAGGCAATCAGGTTAAAATCTTTCTTGGAACAACTTAGGTTACCATTTCTAAGTTATTATATAACCTAGAGATAATTGGCTATTATCTCTCTTTGGAGTATCCTTCCTTACTGTGTTTTCCTAGCGAGCTCCTAATCACTTTTTAAGAGTCACCCTAAGCCCTACCTTTTCCATGAATCCCCTTAACTATCCTTGACTTCATTTCCAACAAAAATGACTATTCCTACTCAAGTCTATCTTATCAACCTTGCATGTTTCTTTTCTAGCAAGATGTCTGATCTCTGAGATTCCTTCATTACTTGTCTGTCCCTGGAGTGTTGTGAAAACAGGGGAGTGGGCAAGGTTGAGCTCCTGACATCTGACCTGGATGGCCTGCAGGCTGAGGAGAGGCCTGTCACAGTGACCACTAGATCACATGGTCCAGTTCAACAAAAGACTGGACCACGATGTGAACCAATTTCCTGCAGAATAAATCCCCCTCATTAATTGCCTTCTTGTTTGCACTTATTTTAAGGCACAGGTTTGAGACCATTATGTCTTTAGCACAACCTTGGCCTTAACAGGAAGCCTTCTGAAGTATATTGGAAGGCTGAGGCCCATAAATCCATCCTTTGTTCATCATCCTTGTAACTCATCACCCTCAAAGCAATAATTGATTAAGCATGTCGGGGAGGTACTGTAAGAGCCATGAAAGGGTGGGCCCTTATCATCTTCAACCTCTTCCTGAGCAGCAGTAGGGTCTGTGATGATACTGAGAGGAGACCACCTGTGCTAGTCATTGTGTGAGGAAGAGGAGGTGACAGCTACAGGCCTCGAGGGCCCAAAGGACTTGCTAACTGCTGACCACTTCACCTCTCCTCACGGTTTCCACCAAGCACAATGCCAGTGCTCTGTCTCCTGGTTACCACCTCCTTCCAGACATGGTCTAACTCAGACCATGTTTTTTCCATTTCCTTCGCTTTTAAGATTCTCTTCCTTCATTCCCATGAGCTCCACATTCTTTTCATGCTAGGTGCTTTCACACACCTTATCTTCTTTTTATTTCTTAGGAAAAAGCCCTACAGGAGCATAGGCTGAGATACCACAAATTAGAATATAATGCCTGGTGATGGAAGACTTTTCTGGGGTGGGAGCTAAGTTGGTTCCCTTTCCCACTGTGAGAAGGGAGGGTAGGACAAGGAGGATGGGAACCCAGAGGGCAAGTTCTTCTCCAGAATGGGAGGCAGAGAGTGGGTCCCTTTCTCCATTATCCTCTCCTCTGAGCAATGAGAGGACATGGGCATCAGTGAGCGTGGGAGATTCTAGACATGCTGCTGTTCTCCTGAAGTTTGTGTGAGCTAGAATGGGGAGCCAGAGTCACCCCTGTCTCTAAGGACGCCACAGTGGTAACTACCACCAGATGTAACATTTGGTAGGTAGCCATGGAGCAGATTTGTCAATGGAACTCCAGGACCTCTGGACTTTGGATTATTCAGACTCACCTGAATCCTCCCTTGCCCTCACCAAAAATAGACCTAACATTCTTCTTAAGTGCATTATTGTTGGTTCAGTGGTATTTTATTATTTTATCCCTGTTTTGAGATACAAATTGTAGGTCTTGGAACATTTAAGAAACTAAGTTTGCAGACTTAGTAGCAGGCTGAAGTCAGTAACTCCAGAAAAGGCCACAGGGACTTTGCTTCATCCCTGCATGGTGCCCTGCAAAACAGGTATCTGTGCCTTATTTCACTAGATCCCAAATGCCTCTGCACGTCAAAAAAAAGGACTAAAGCATCTACTGCTACTGCTAAGTCACTTCAGTCATGTCTGACTCTGTGGATCCCCATAGACGGCAGCCCACCAGGCTCCCCCATCCCTGGGATTCTCCCGGCAAGAATACTGGAGTGGGTTGCCATTTCCTTCTTCAATGCATGAAAGTGAAAAATGAAAGTGAAGTCACTCAGTGGTGTCCAACTCTTAGCAAGCCCATGGACTGCAGCCTACCAGGCTCCTCCGTCCATGGGATTTTCCAGGCAAGAGTACTGGAGTGGGGTGCCATTGCCTTCTCCGAAAGCATCTACAAAGAAACACATATGACTGGACATGTCCATTCATTCATTCACCACCAGAGGACTCAGTGCATGTGTGGACCACGTGCAGTCTGGATTTGGTGCTCCTGTGATGCTCTGATCTGCAGGGCTGTGCTCATCTGTTCCCCACACACCACAGGGTGACACTGCTAACCTGAGAATATCTTGACCATTTGGATTGATGAGGACAGTACTCAATTTCCAGCCTTTCGAATCTCCAAGCCTAACAGCCCCAGGGCAGAAGCACTGAATGCTTCCTCTGTTGGGAAGGACTTTGGATTTTCACTTCACCAACTCCCTTTTATCAATTATTTCTTAGCTTAAATGTCACCCTGTCACAGACTGTGACCTGGACAAGCAGGCACTCACTGATACACTCATAACTTTCAAGTCTCTAGAGAGCTATTGAGAGATAAGTGGAGAATCGGGCTTCTGTGTAAGCAAGGCTGGGACTGAGAGCTCTATTCTGATCCACAGCCAGGAGCCCAGCTGCACCCTGACACCTCTGTCCCCAGACAACATCTCTATTGGGCATGATCATGCCTCAGGTGTGTCCTCAACAGTGTCCAGAGGCTTTCAGGTCTGTTCAGAGCTTCTAAACACCCACCTGACCAGCCACCCAGTGTTTGCCTGATTCAGTGAATATAGTCAGTGCAGCCCTAACTATAGACCCTAGAAACAGAATATCCTCCAGACCCCTGGCCCAGTCTGTACAAAAGGTCTGTGCATTGGAACACCCAAAAATATGATGCCCAGGTGCTTCCCAGGTGAACCAGGAGCAGTACCTCTTTGAATCTGCAGGCTTGAGGAGGGCAGACCTCTGGTGGCTTGGGAATAACCACCATGAGACCATGAATGCTGAACTGAAGGGGGGGCAGAGCAGTGAGAAGAGTGAAGCCAGGCTCAGAGTCCAAGTTTAGCTGTGCCCCTCCCAGCCTCTGTGACCTGGGTCAAGTCACTCAGCCTCTCTGTGGGTCAGTACCCCCTTGGTAAAGTTGGGATAATGGTACTGGCACAGTTACTGGGAGAATTAAAGCACTGAAAACATTATTGGTCTAGCAACTGACCCACGGAAAGGATGCACCATTATTATTCATCATTAGTAAATTCCAAGGATGACAACTGGAATGATTTGGCTTCTCCCCATTGTCACAGACACTGACACAAGGAAGGCATCTTTACAACCTGGTAAATGCAGTCAGTGTTGGCCAGACAACATTGGGGAGGGGGTGTTACCATGTCCTGGTACCTGAACAACCAGCCCAGGAGGGTCTCATGGGTGGGGTGCAGCCAGCAGTCCCACAGGGGTGGGTAGGTAGTGGGGAGGGATGATGGATGGGAGGCCAATAGGCCTCATAGCCCTTTTTACTCAGGATTGGAAGTTCTGGGCATTGCTCTGGAGCAAAAAGTCCTGACATCCTTGAGATGACCATGCAGGGAAAATGCATGGGTATCATGTTGAGAATTATCTGGAGGCTAATGATGTCCAGGTCTCCATGTCTTGGGCTTTCCTCTTAGCAGATGCTCCCACAAGGCTCTCTGAACCACAGTCACAAGCAGCAACTGTCAAGACCAAAAAAAAGACCCCAGCACATGGGGAGCACCCTGTGCCCATCTTACCATGTCCCTGGGTGGACACCACATCCATGGCACCAGACTGCAGCGCTGAAGAAAGTTATAAAAAACATCCAGCTTTCCCTGAAAAGCAGATGTGGTTTTAAGGAAGCTACAGGCACAGACGCTGCCTCCAGATGAGCAGCATTGCCTCCATCTCCCACAAGTCCCCAGGGCTGTGTCCCCACACACTGGCTGAGGCAGCCCTGCAGCCTTCACCTGGGGCAGGGGGCTGGAAAACATTCTGTGTTTGTTGGGAGATGGTCTCTATGGGTCACAGGCTGTATTGGATTCTGGAACAAATCAGTGCTTTTGGTGTAGGAGGAGATGTTGGGGCTGCTTTTGAAAAAAAAGAAAAATGTCAAAGGTTGGAGGAGGTATGCAGTAGCTAAGGGGAGGTCCTCAAGGAGAAACATGGGGTGGGCATGGGGACCGGGCAGGAGATTGAAGGAGGGGGAAGAGGGCCTCCACTTTGGGGCACAAAGGGAGAAGGCAGGGAAGAGACCCACTCCCTGCTCAGCAGGAAGGATCCCAATACTGGGAAGAAAGAGAAAGATGAGGAAAACAAAGAACAGGCAAGAAAGTGGACCTGGTGGAGGTAGGATGTGGAGCCGGTCCTCTGAGTGGGAATAAGTCCCTGGCTGATGGCTTCCTCCCTCTTGGAAGGTGAGCTCTGGATTTCCTGGGCCCCCACAGTGACTGTCAGGGAAGATGTGGGGCTGGCCTTTCAGCTGCTATTTGAAGCTCCCAGGAGGAAGCAATGGACCCCACAGGGACAGAGGCAGGACCAGGAGGAGGAGGGCAAAACTGAACCCAGAGATCGTGGTTCTTTCTTCCTCATAACTGCCACCTGGGGCCCTCCCTGTCATTTCTCAGCCTCCTGCCAGCGAGGATCTCAGTCACCCAAGGGAAGGAGTTTTCCTCAGGTTCCCTCCTCCTGGAGTTTCCTGTCACCCCATCTCAGGTGCTACAAGAACATGCAGTAAGCCCTTTGCCTCTCTCACTGAGCAGACAGGAGCTGTGGGCACTTCCTGGTATTTTAATAGTGGTAAGATCTTGGCTCAGAAGTTTCTTTTTATTTTTTTCCTGACTTTTGTGTGGCTCTTTGTCATTGTTTCTTTTCACTCATCCAATCACTCTCTGGAGAAACTCAGGACATTGTCAGAGCTGATGACAATCTCTGTGAGGCCTAGGAATTGACCGGCTGTGAGTCAGCCACCAACATCCAGAATCCTGGGCCTGTAAGACCCTGGTGCTGGGACAGCTGGAGGCAGTGAGTACCTGAACATTCAACTCTTTGTTTCACCCTGAGCCACTAGGGTGGGAAGAGCTTCTGGATTTGCTCTGTCACCAAGTGGTGGGAGATGAGAGCCCATAAAGCTCATCTCCATCCAAGCCAGGTCTTTTAGGCCCAAGCCCATGTGGGTTGATTGGCTCCCCCGCTCCTCCAAACCCCCAGCCTTGAGGGGGTCATCCTTCCCTTCCTATGGGTCCTTCTCACCTCCATCTGTCTTATTCTGTCTTCTTGGCACTCACAGCGGGAGACAATCACTGTGGTCTGTACAGGGCATGGCTGTGAGAAAGAGAAATAATTGTCTGAGTCCTTGTCTGGCAGCTCCTGGGTGCAGACACATGACATCTGTTGCTCTGGCACCTGTCAAGTACTGGCCACTCAGCAAATGTCTGTTGGAGAATCAAGGACAAATGAGCAACACCTGGCACAGTAAGCTAGTGGCCTCTATATGAAAGCACACCAACCTCGTTTGGTTTACAAAGATGGCTCTTCTCCAAGTATCAACGAACTTCATCCTGTCCCTTTGGTTCCCAGAGGCTTCCCTGGTAGGGTTAGCTGGGTGTGAGGCTGTGCCATGTGATGGAGGCTGTCAGGGATGTAGCAGTAGCAGGTTACAGGACTGCATTCACCCACCTCTGACAGATCCAGCCTCCCCAGGCCCCACTGCAGCCAGTGTCGATGCCAGTCTCGGCAGTGATCCTGTTTGCCACTAGATCTCAGACCCAGGTCTCCCTTTCTTGGGACATGAGCCCCTACTCTACTTCTTATGGGCCCTGGTTTGGGTCCCCACCCTGGGTCAGTCACAGCATTTTCTCCTGACCCTTTGCCTCTGCGTTCATCTGGGCTGTGCCCCCCTCACAGCTCAATGCCAGGTAAAACTCCCTCCTCCTTCTTTAGTCCCCAGTCCCTAAGGGCCAACCCTGCCAAGACCTCCACCCTGAAATGAGATGGAAAAGAAGATCAGGGAAACAGAGCACAACATACATCAGAGCGCGGGGAGAGAGACCAAGTCCCTGAAACCTGAGGATCCTTTTCCAAAAGCTCACCTGTGTCCTGGAAGTACCATCCTACAAACAGTCCTTTGAGAACTGACAAACAGCTCATTGATTCCAGGAGGGATCATAGGTGTTTCTAAAACAGGCTACCCCACATTGCTAATTCACTGATAAAGGCCCTATATCAGGTGGTGTTGGGAACTAGGGAATGGTGTTTTGCGGGTGACATATTGTGAGTCCATTTCTCATCTGCATCCCTCTCTGCCCCCCATCACCCTCTTCTTTCTGCCAGTTCTCTCTGCTCAGATAAGCGGGAGCTGGAAGGGTCGGGGGGCGTAGCCCCATACACATCAGGGGGCCGCACTGTGCAGGGCAGTGTGTGTATCAAGCATGCTCTCAACATCAGCCAAACACATCACTCACTTTTTTTGGATTCTGGGCTGATGGTGGCTCCTTGATAACCTAGGATGTTAAAGACACATAATTAATGTGGAAAGGGCATGGACAAGTCTGACTCAGCTATGCAGACATTGGGACTCTGCTCTGCAACAGTAAATGGTCAAAAAACAGGCCTTAGGGTATCTCTTAGCTGCTCATGACCTGTGACTATCTTCCTAAGCCTTAGACTTCTCAGATTTCAAAGGGGAATCAATACATCCATGTAGGGTCAAGGTGGAAAAAGCCCAGATCAAGGCCCCTGGTCCCTGGTAGAAGCTGCACATGGGAGTTTTCATCAGCAGCCCTGACATAATGGGAAGACAAGAGAACACTCCCCACACCCTTCCCAGACCTCAGGGATGATGGTCCACCCTCCATCTCCCCATGCTTTCTCTCCTCGCATCTCATCTCTTGCAGAAATCTGATCTGCTAGCTTCTATGCTGCTTTGCTTATCCTTTCTCAGCTCTGCTTTTTCCTCTTCTTCACCCGCTGTGGCCTGTGTCTTTGCAAATCCAGCTGGCCATCCCCTCTGTCTCCCCTCCCTCCCCAGGGCCAGTCTCTAACTCTTTTCATTATCAGGGTTCCTGACACACCCTCTGAAGGTGACATTTACCCTCAATGTCCCCCAGGTACCAATACCAGACCAGATACTGGACAGTGAGCTCCTGTGGGCAAAGGTGGCAGCTGCACATCCTGGTGACTTAGCATGACTGATGAAGGAGTGACAGAAAGTACCAGAGATGGGCAGGGATCCATGCTGCTTTAGAAGGCACAGCCACCTCTGAGGTTAGCACTCTCCGGGCCAGTACCCTTCTCCCTTTGGGCCATCAGTGCCCATGCAGACCCCTCTTCTTCCCTCAACAGCAGAGACTTCTGGGGGTTTGGTCTACCTGAGTCCTTCAGGAATCTGACTGCTGTGGGGCAGCCCTGGTCTCAGGGGTCTGGATAATTCATAGGCCCCTTCCCTGTGAAGTTAAAGCATGAGGCAGGTGGCCCCCTAGAAGCCCAGGCTATGTCTGTGCCCAGAACGGGAGGATAGAGTCTGCACCTTGTTTGTTGGTGTGAGGGCCCTGGAGCTGAAAGAAACCTTCCCACAGGCAGGGTTCTGGGGCCAGCACATGCCCCGCCCCTCAGGGGGTTGGTGAGTGCTGTGCAGAGGCTGTGCAGGCAGGGGTCACTCACCCTCTTGTAGCAGCAGATACAGATAAGCAGCAATGGGATCACGACCAGGGATGGGACAAGTGTAGGGTACAAGAGAGGAACCGGGCTCTGGGTGACAACAGTGGACACTGTAGTCTCTGGGACAGTTGTACTTTCTGTGGTTGTGGTGGTTGTCGTTGTAGTGACAGTGGTAGGCACTGTGGTTGTTGTCGTCGTAGTCGTTGTTGTCGTGGGAGTAGTCGTCATCGTAGTAGTTGTCGTAGTCGTCGTAGTCGTAGTTGTCGTAGTTGTTGTTGTCCTCCTCGTTGTTGTTGTCGTCGTCCTCCTCGTTGTGGTTGTTGTTTTCCTTGTTGTCGTTGTTGTCCTCCTTGTTGTGACAGTTGTAGGCACTGTGGTGGTGGTGGTTGTTGTTGTTGTTGTTGTTGGCGTTGTCCTCCTTGTTGTCGTTGTCGTTGTGGTTGTCGTTGTCGTAGTGGTGGTGGTTGTTGTTGTCGTCGTGGTTGTCGTTGTTGTCGTTGTTGTTGGCGTTGTCCTTCTCGTTGTTGTCGTTGTCGTTGTGGTTGTCGTTGTCGTAGTGGTGGTGGTTGTTGTTGTCGTCGTGGTTGTCGTCGTCGTCGTCGTCGTCGTTGTCCTCCTCGTTGTTGTCGTTGTCGTTGTGGTTGTCGTTGTCGTGGTTGTCGTAGTGGTGGTTGTTGTTGTTGTCGTCGTGGTTGTCGTCGTCGTCGTCGTCGTCGTCGTTGTTCTCCTCGTTGTTGTCGTTGTCGTCGTTGTCGTCGTCGTCCTCCTCGTTGTTGTCGTTGTCCTCCTTGTTGTAGGCACTGTGGTTGTGGTTGTCCTCCTCGTTGTCCTCCTCGTTGTGGTAGGCTTTGTGGTCGTTGTGGTAGTTGTTGGGATAGTTGTGGGCTCTGTAGGCTCATACTGTAGAGAGCACACATGCCAAAGTCCCCGGGTTAGCCTGAGTGACCACTTCTTATGCACCCAAAATGCACTTCCCACACTAGACCCCACAATTCCCCTTCTCCTCAGGGTGCCTCATCTATAAGGACCAGAGTTGGGCTAGAAGATCATGGCTGGTACCCAGAGAGCCACTGTGGAGCCCTGGGCCACAGACCCCCACTGCTGACCCTGCTCAGAGGCTCTCCCCAGAGCACTGTCAAAGCCCAGCCCTCCAAGGGGTGACAGCCCAGCCCTCACTTCCTGCTTTGGTTGAGAGCACTGGGATTTTTCAAGGACCACAAGATGACACACAGATGTGTGAGGGAGGGCTGCGGGGCCCCTGAGAAGCAGGGGTTCGAGAGAAGAGGCGGGAGACCTGATCACCTACCCATAGTTTCTCTTCCCTACTTCCCAGCTCTGCAACCTTGGGCACAGCTACTCTCTGAGGTTCCATCTCACATCTGTGGTGAGGAAGTGCAGGCACTTGAAAGCATTAGAGAGAGGCTTTAGAAAGCCCAGAGTAGTACAGGACATGTCTACATGGGACCTTAAGGAGTGAGCTCTCTTCTCTTGTTCATAACCAAGGGTGCGTATGCTGCATACCCGGACCTGCACTGCCCAGCTCTTTCCCACATCAATGGCTCTGCTGGAGAAAAGCAGAAGGGAAGGGGACAGAGAAAGCCCCTGTCCAGGAAATAGGGCTGCTGAAAGGAGAGGCCCAGTCAGGCTGAGAATGACCCTTGCTGGGCATGGAGCCACAGGCAGCTCCAGAGTTCTCTTCTCAATGTGCCCGTGGACAGACAGCAGTTAGGTGGAGGGACTCCTGGTGGGAAATGTGGAGGTTCAGGCTCAGATCCTCAGGAGGATGTGCAGAGACCAGAAGAAACGGACACACAAGGACCATCACATTGAGGGAACCCTCACCAGCTGGGATTGGACACAGGGGCAGTGGCATTAGCACAAGCGTTCCTCCCAGAGAAATCTCACTCCAGGCTGACAGGCTCTGTCATCCATGCTGGGCTGCCCCAGGCTAAGCAGCCTAGACACTGTAGAGCTGGGAAAAGCAGACCCTTGGGAGCAGCACTTTCTTCTTGTGTCTCCTCGTGCTGAGCCCCAACCTCCCTGTGACCCTGCCAGCTCCCCAGGAATAGAGGGCAGAGACCCCCTGCAGAGGTCAGAGCCAGTTTTCAGAGAGGGGCAGAAGAGAAACATGAGAAAAAAGGAGAGGCAGAAGGGAGGCTGATGACCTCTGTAAAGTGATTGCCTGTGTTCCCCAGTCTTGGGAGGCTGGGATTGTGAAGGTAATGAGTGGGTTCAGAGCCCTACCTGCTGCTGCACCAACTCAGTGAAGACACACCCTGGGCATGGCCACAGCTGCTCCCACCCTCCAGACCCCCGTGCTTGGGACTCCAATTTGGAGGGCCTGGGGGTCTCAGAGGGCCTGGATTCTGTCTCCTAGTACACAGTGTCCCAGCCTTTTACATTCACTCCAGCTGGAATCCAGGCTGGAGCCTGGAGTTACCCACCACAAGTCCTAGGCCAGGAGAGGCGGCAACGTGGGTCCAGGGTGGGCAGAAGCTCAGAACCATTTCTGGAGTTGCTTAGAGCTTGAGTTGGTTCCTTGCACATACCTTCAATGATACTTGGTTCATAGAGAAGGCAGTTTCTGTAGGACCCGAATAGCCAGCTGTATCCTGAGACACTCATAGAGGCATTCCAGTGAATTTCACAAACCAGAGTTGTGGGGACAGCTCCCTGATAAAGAACTCAGGCACCAAACTGGCTGTAAAATGCTACCTGAAGTGCATGTCTGCACAGATTACTTGCTGGCCCTTTCCCAATGATGTTACTCTCCTGTCCTGCATCCCTGGTTGTCTCTTCCTCCCAAGCAGATTCTCTTGCAGCCCAACATTCACTCACACAGTCCCTGCTGGTAATTTTCAGGCTTCGCTCACTCCAGGTATTTTCCCTGTCCAGAGAGTAATCAACGACGACCACCCTGAGGCACAAAAAGGGCAAATGGTGACAAGGTGACAAGTGACAGTTCTTGCACTTGTCTCAATCTGTTTTCCCCAGATCTCTTTATTGCAATGACTTCAAACATCAGGCATTTGGAGCTTGCAGGGAGCAGGAAGCATGGGCAAGGAAAGCTCATGCCCAGACAACATGAGATTGATCTCTGAAATGAAGGCAGGCCAGGCAGTGGGGAGCCCTGCAGGGGGTTAGATGCCCTCATGACCATGGACTAAGTGACTAAGGATGGCTGTATGTGTCCCCATCCCGACTCTGTATGTACACAGCATGTTGGCTTCATCTGGAAAAGCTCCCTGGAGTAAAGGTACCATCCCTGGGACACACCATCTCCCACATCCTGCCCTCCTCAGCAGAGCCTTGGTCACAGCGGATCCCTGAACACCTCAGGGGATTATCAACCAGGACAGGGGTGGAGGATGCCTGAGCCCTCCTGGAGACAGACATGTGCTGCCCTCAGTAAATGGGGTATCCCACACTCTGGACTCCTCACAGTGGGGAAACCTGGCCAAAGGGCCCCGGAACATAAACACTTACTGTCCAGCCTTAAGAAAAACATGTCCTAGGCACACTAATTTTTCTGCAGTCACTGAGTCAGGTGGTTTAGCTAAAAGACAATTATATGAAAAGAGTGTCAATGGACTTGTCCATCCACCCACCCCTTCCTTTCTGCCTGTCCTTGGTAAGCAAAGCTACCGCTCTGGCAGAAGCAGCTTCTCTTCTCTGCCTTCTTCTGACACCGACCATGCACCAGGCACTGTGCAGGGTCTCTGGTGTTTAATGGGAACAAGGCGGGCAGAAGCCTTGCTCTTAAGGGCCTGACATTTATGGGACTGGAGAGGGAGACAGACAATAAAGTAACAAACAACAAAATGAGTGCCAGAGAGAAAAGTGCCATGATGTCAATAATCAAGGGAAGGAATAGGGAAGGGAGTGGAAGGAATAACTGCTTAGCCTTTTAGAGACACAATTTCTCTTTAAGAGAAAATGAAATATTTACACAGGACATGATAGGATATCTGGGATTTGCTTTATAATAATCAACGGTGAAAATATGAGCAAAACCAGATTGGCCAGGGTTGATAATTAATGAAAGTAGGTAAGACTGCTTCAAGGGCTCTATACAATTTTTGCTACTTTTGTATGTTATTGAGAATTCTCATTAAAGATAAGGTCTCTGAGACAATGTTCCTGGAGCTAAAACCAGATGAGGGGAAGGGCAAGGAAAGTTCTGAGGAAGACTGTCCAGGCTGTGGGCACCTGTGCCATGGCCTACGGCATAATTAGCTGAACTTGTTGACAGAAAGAGATGAGTGGTAGGAGCCTCGTGGACCCTGGGAAGGGGTGTGGGCTTTATTCTAAGTACAGTGAGTGTGTCAAGGGGCTGTCCAAGTCCAGATGAATTTGGACACAGAGGCAGAAGGACCTGTAGGTGGCCTGGATGTGGGATGAGAATAAACAGGAGTCAAGGACGACATGCAGTTTAGTGAGCAGAACATCAGGGTGGGTGGTGGTGCTATTTGTGGACACAGGGAAGCCTGAGGGGGAACAGGGCCTCTGTGTTTGTGTTTGTTCTAAAATTTTGTGGGGGTTGGGAGATGGCCCTCAGAAGCCTCTGACAGTGCATAGTGAGTAGCTGTGGAACCTTCCCTCTCCTGAACCCTAACTATTCTCACACGCTGACTGTGGCCACAGATCAGGCCTTCCCTCTCAGATGGTTTCCTTCCCAGTGACCAGCTTTTGGCCATAACTCAGTTCTCACATTAGCTACGAAGTTTTTCCCCTTTATTGGTACTGATATTAAAAAACTAATCACTAAGTTTATTTAGGGGGAAGGATTTGTGTCTGAGGGGTAGAATGGTTGGGATTAGGGTGAAAAAAAATCACAAGGAAATGTAGTATAATCTCCACAGTGTTCACACAGCAGGGAGAGTGAGGTAATGGCAGCCACCTCATATACCGAGGGTCACAAGAACAGCACGTATAAAGATTTCTTAATATGTGAAATCATGACACACTTAAGATAAATAATATAAAACATAAAGGAATATTGGTTTTAAAATTAATCTTTGTTATGCTTTTCTGTATTTACTAAAAAGTTTTCCCAGATGTTTTAATCAGAGTAAAATATAATGAGAGACTACCAAATGAATCCTCATTGGTGCTCATGGCAATCCTCAGGGCTCATGGCAACAAATAGTGCTGATCCACCACTTCTGGTCAGCCTCCAACCATATCCAACATGGCGGTCAGCAGAGGAGCCCATGTGGGATAAACTCTCCCATGTGAGATCTCTGTGCTGGTCCACCTCAGAGAGAAACTGATGACACCGTGGGTGAGAAAACAGTATAGCCACCAAACCCAGAAGTGTCTGAATACATTTATTGGATGATAGGTTGTTCCCAACCTTTTTCAAGAACTGTCATCAGCAAGGCCAAAGACCCAGACTAGGCAGTCAGATCACCTGTGTTTGCTTTCCAGCTCTTGCTGCATCAGTTACATACAATTAGGTCTCATTTGAGAATTAACTGAGATAGTGCATATAAGCCACTTAGACATAACCTGATGCAGCAGGTGCTCAAAACACATAAGTTTTCCATACAAAGACTCAGTACAAACCACTCCTGAGAAAGTACAGACCAAAGGAAATCTAACCCCCGAGGCCATTTACACCCTGTGTGGTGTGAGAGTGTAGAAATGGCAGAGCCCTGCCCATTCTATGCACCCATTTAAGGAGACATGGTCCAGAAGTGTGCTGGTGGAGACGACTCACTCTGGGTTTATCAGATGGCCCTGGAATGAAGAGTCACAGAACATAATATAATCATATCCAATCAATGTATCAGGGGGTTAACTGGGAGAGTTGAGCAGGCGGAGGAAGTCCAACTGTCCCCAGGCACTCTCTGAGGGAAATCAGACCTACCTCAGTGATGAGGGCACATCTCTTGCCCCTTCTGTGTACTTTCGCAGGCCGCTCCCCCATTGTGGAGGAACACCTAGTGCCTGAATATTTCCAAATAGTAGCTTTATGTATACAGTAGGGTTTAGTTAGTGCACCTACCATACTGACCCCATTTTACAGTACAGATAATAGAGGCTGAGAACAGAACATTCATTAGGTCAAAATCACACATGTAAAATGGGCCTGAGCCAACATTCCAGGGCCCAGGCCTGGCCGTTGGCATCCTTTCTCAATCCCGGTGACCCTACTCTCCTGGGAGAGTTCAGTGTACCTTGCACAGACTCAGGGCCCTGGGGTTACCTCCACTTCTCACCAACAGACTCATAAGATTCAAGTCCTTTCTCTCAAGGGGAGTGAGGGCCAAGGAAGTTGTGGGAGAATGTAGCAGTGAGGGCAGAGCTAGCACCCCAAGCAGGGGTGAGCCTTTGCAGGGATAAGCCTTGATCCAAGACTTCCTTGACTTGTTGGGGATTGATCACTTCCCAGCCTGAGATGAAGGGCAAAGTGTCCAGGTTTCCTAGCCAGGTCACTGCGTCCACTTGTCCACACTATTTCTATCCTCAGAGTGTCTAAGTGAATGGTAAGGAAGGGATCTGACGGCTTGGGTGGCTGAGGGAATGCAGTGTGGTGTGGAAAGTTTGTCACTTAGAGGCACCAAGGTAGGTTACTTACTGTAGACTTTGTTTTTGTCCAATTTATATCTGCAAGTATATTCACTCATTCTGTCTGGACTCAGTCCAGATGCATAAAATCCGAGATGGTAGGATTCTGCAAGGGCAACATCCAAATTTCTGTGTTAGGAGTGGTTGAGTCCTGACTTCCTTCCGATTTCACAATTATTACAGGTCACCCTATAACTGCATTCCCAGGGGACACCCCTAAGGAACCAGGGTCTGAATAACCCATTTGTCCTCTGGGCTCACCTTTTGTCACTGATGGTCCACTCTGAGGCAGCAAGGCTGGGCTTTGAGAACTCAGGGGGCCTCTCACTACTTCCCCTGACCCATCAAACTCATTAAAGGCATCCAATGTCATCCCCACCACAGAGGCAAATCCAGTCATGGGTTTATGACCCATTTGTCCTAGAGTCTCCCCTAGGAGTTGCAGGCAGTGCTCTCCACCAGGCCCTCCCTTACATAAAGGACAGGAACCAAGATAAAGCAAGCTGAAGATAGATCTGACCCTTGCTTCAGCTGAGCATACAAGCCTGGTGCTTGTAGGACTTTCTTGCACTTGGGGTCTATTCCTCCTCCCTGTGCTTCTCTGTGCCTATAGTAGGCTGGAGACCCCAGGAGCAAGGCCAGGACCTGGGTGAGGCAAGAAAAGGGGCAAGGGCCCTGCACAGGAGAATCCCCCATGGAGGATAAAATCTTGTCTCATGTGGTTCTGAAGTATGCAGTGACTGCTCTTCCCCTCCCTCTTCCTGACCCTTCAAGTTCCTCACACAATGCCCCCAGGGTTCACCAAGCAGTTCCTTTTGTCAGGGTGAGAGACATTGATATGCTAAAGTGAAGTTCTGGGCCATAGCCTTTCTTCAGGCTGCTGGGAATTTCTGGTCCCAGAGGCAAATACCAGGGGACCCAGAGAAGACGGCTTCCCTGGTGGCTCAGTTGGTAAAAAATCCACCTGCAATGCGGGACACCTGGGTTCAATCCCTAGGTTGGGAAGGTCCTCTGAAGGAGGGCATGGCAACCCACTCCAGAATTCTTGCCTGGAGAATCCCCATGGACAGAGGAGCCTGGAAGGCTACAGTTCACGATGTTACAAAGAGTTGGACCCAACTAAGAGGCTAAGCATAACAACCTGGGGAATTGTTCAGGATAACATGCAAGTCTTCTTGCTCTAAACCCAAGGTCATTAGCCTCCACCTCTGCCTCCTGGCCAAAATTGGTGAATTTCAATCCCAGATGCTTCATTTGCCCAAGGTCAGTTAACTTGAGAAGTATTCCTCAGAAATGCCAGCACAAACTTTTATCTGGCAGTCCTGATTCCTCCTGTTTCAGGTATCCCTGCAGTTCCCATCAGATCAGGGCCAAGTTTGCAATTTCTCTGCTTGCAGAAAATATATTCTCAGCCTTTGGGCTGAAGCTGGCTTGATGATAAGTTTTTTTAGGTTTTCAAGGGTTCTCCAAAAATTGCACCCCATGTTTAAAGCCTGCATACTTTCTTGACACCAAATAAACAAAAAGTTTTGGAGAAAGAAAAGAGCTGGAGGTACTATGTTTCCTATTTTTGGACTGTACTCCAAAGCTGCAGTAACCAAAACAGTATGGTACCAATACAGAAAGAGACACATAGGTATAGAGAGCCCCAAAGTAAACCCATGCACATATGGTCAGTTTAACTATGACACAAAAGTCCAAGCACCTTCACTGCTCACCAAGACATGGGAATCTGTATTTGTTCTGGAAAAAGCAGTTGGGACTGTGTCTTGCCCATACACTTTTGCCAGCACAACTTGGTTCACCTGAGCAGGGCAGCTGCTCCTCAGTCTCAAAGAGGATTGCTTGCAATTTACATTTTAGGATTACTTTTTGCAAAGAAGCATAGTTCTAAACTAATAAACCATATTGTAAGTAGATACAGGCAGAGAAAAGAAATCTTAACTGCCAGAATTGGAGAGGTCAGGCTCTAGATGAGGCAAAAATAGACAGTGTAGCCTTCCTGCCACAAACAAAAAGACAAGAGGAACCAGAAGTGGGAAAATCCATGCAAGGCACTACCTGCTCTGTTCATTCAAAATGATGTTCTCCACAAGCAAGCATCTACAGTGCGCCTATCAATCTTTATACTTCTTCCTTCTTATCTCCTGAATCCACAAGGTACACATGATCTACTACTTCCAATTTTACAGAGAGTGAAGGTACAGGTATCTTCTGGCAGGTACAGGGCCAGAATCTGAGCTCAAGTACCTAACCCAGCACCTACTTACACCACCTCTGCTCCTGTCTTGAAGTGAAGTGCAAGTCGCTCAGTCGTGTCTGACTTTTTGCAACCCCATGGACTACACAGTCCATGGAATTCTCTAGGCCAGAATACTGGAGTGGGTAGCCAGCCGTTCCCTTCTCCTGGGGATCTTCTCAACCCAGGGATCAAACCCAAGTCTCCTGCATTGCAGATGGATTCTTTACCAGCTGAGCCACCAGGGAAGCCCATTCCTGTCTTAATTCTAAACATTTGTCACATTCCTCTCCAGGGACACATCCTCTCTGATACTCTGATACATGGATTTTCAGCTCATTGGACTGAATTGGAACCAGAGAGGACCTGGCCAGTCCCAGCCTCATGGTAAAGATTGAACTCCACCTCTTCCTCCATGGAGATGACAGGACGGAGGGCAGCAGCTGAGGGCAGGGCCAGCTGACAGCCCAGAGCACAGACCATGGCAGCATCTTCAGGAGCAGTGCACACTGCCCTCTGCCTGGGTCCCTTCCTTCCTCCTTGGAGCTCCTGCTGCCTTCAGCCCCGCTCAGGTACTGCTTTACCTTTGCAGCAGAGGCCTTCTGTCCCAGGCAGCGTTGCTCTCAAAGGAGGGCTTCTAAACTCTGGCAAGTCTCCAAAGTGGAAGGCAGGGTGATGGTTTCAGATTTTTGAGCAGAAGACAGTTCAAAATAAACAAGTTTTCTTTGTCTGGGCAGCAGCCTCTTCTGTTTCCCAACACCCCTTATCCTAATTCCTCTTAACAGTTAGCCCCACAGGATGAAAATGACGTTGCAAGAAGAACTAAAATCAGCTCACAAGGCTTCATTTCCCATGCACAGTGCAGCTGCCCACCAGAGGCAGAAGGACCAACAGCCTGAGGGATACTGATCCTTTCTGGAGGAGAGAGGTTTCTCTCTGGAAGAAAAGTTACACACCAGGTCACCTGGGGCCGCCAGACAGAGTTATGGGAAGGTAGGCTCCCTGAAAAAGCCAGATGGAGAGGAGCCTGAAGAGGGCATGCAACCTGCATGAGACTGACTAGGGTGCACGGATAGAGGTGACCTGCCTTGGAGAGGGCAGACGGCGGAGCACCCCATGCAGCTTGGCACAACCGTTTTGAGACAAACTGGACACTGCCCACAATGAGCTGGGTGGCCCCTTAAGGTATCAATTCTACTTCTGGTCTTGATCCCAGGGATACTCTGTCCCAAGAGGACTAACCATCAGGACAGTCCCTGCAATGTGACTTGTAGTATACTTATTAGGAATAATCTGAGTATTGACCAAGGGAGACTAATGAAATAAATTGGTCCATTCATGCAATGGAATACTGTGCAGAAGGTTGGAAAACATTATGTATTGCAAGATCCCATTAAAGTAAAAATATCTTTATAAAGTATATTTAGGTAGGAATTTACATATAAAAGCGGAACTCCTTGTGATTGTTAACTCAGGAGATAGTGGGATGGGACAAGGCGGGACCTTATCCTGGAGGAGGGGCAGCCTCTACCCAGGCTGGTTGCAGGAGTGTCCCTGTTGGCACAGCGTGTCCATCCTTCATGCCTCAGGTCCTCCTGCCCCACTCACCCCCACAGAGGGTCTCCAACCACGATGCATACCTGGACGCTGGACCTCAGAGGAAAGCCCTGCTCTGCACTGTGTGCTACTATGGCCTTTGCTGCTGGGCTTCTTGCAGACACTCACTCTGGTCTGGCCACATACAGGAAAAAGGGTGACAGGGTGCCGCCTCCAGCCTGCCTTCTGGGGCCAAATCCCGAGCAAACCCAGCAACACACAGGGTGGGTGAATTCCCAAACCACAGTGGCGAGTGCCCAGGGCCAGATCCTGTGCTCATCCCTGTGAGTCATTGAGGAGAGGTTCTAAAGCAGCAAAGTAGACTGCAGAGGAAGAAATCAGGGAGTAGCTGCCTCCAGAGGGTTGGGGAGGGATTGCCTGGGAAGGGAGCTGAGGGGACACTGTAGGTGCAAATGTAATGCTCCGAGTCTTCAGGAGGTTTGGGGTTACATGAGTGCTGTGTGCATTTGTCAGAACTCATCAAATGATACACTTTGGTCTGCTGCATTTCAAAAAGAGAACTCAACCAAAAACAGTTACCAGGTAAAGTTATGCACAATGAAGGGTTTGGAGGTGAGGTAACCCCATGATAAATGACAATAGAAATGATGTCAATCCAGGTAGTGGAGACAGGAGTACATCTGCTTTCACTTTGCTATAGTTATGAAATTTTTCCATAATGAAAGGTAGGAAAAAGTGAGGTGAATGATAAAAATTAAATAATAAAGCCATGGACATGACGAAGCAGAAGTCATGGTACATGAGTGACAAATGACAGAAAAACATCAAAGCTGTGGGAAGCTGGAGTGAGCAGCTGACCAGGAGAGGCTTTGGGACTGAGGCACCAACAGAGTAACATCTAAAAGGGTGGTAAGCTGAACCCTGTAAAACTGAGGGAGGTTTTTCAGGAAGTTCAGTCCCCTGACCCCACAGCCTCTGCAGCAGGTGAGCTTACAGCAGAGGCTGATCCTTGGAGAGTCTGGTTCTTCAGCTTGAGGGCCTCAGCTTCTGTGGTCAGGTGGGAAGGGAAGTGGCCTTCTCAGCCCCTCGGGCCCTGTGCAGAGGGACTGGAGCACAAGCATGGAGGCAGGGAGGCCAGCAGAGGCCTCTGCTTAGTCTTGGAGTAGAGTCTTAGTCCTGAGAGGCTGAAGAAGTGACCTGCATCACGCTCACCTCCTCCAGGCCTCCTCACACCCGGCCTGCTGACTTATTCAGAACGACAGCTTCTATTTGTTTCAGGTCTAGCTAGGTTCCTGCCTTGAGCTTTCCTCCAGTGACAGTCATGCTGTGAGACAGCTTTTGACAAGATGACGGCAGCTGTAAACGTTAGAGCAGTACCGCTGGGCCCCACTGGCAGAGGGTGTGCAGTGGACACCTGTCATCCCTGCTGGGCCACCCCAGGGCATGAATGACAACAGGCATCCTACCCTGAGGTCTGACAGGCCCGTGTGTGTCCTGGGGACATGATCACAGAATGGAAGCTGTCAGGCTGTTACATAGCTGGCAGTGACACCAGAGAAGCAGGAAAAGACCCTGCACATGTGTGTGGGTCCCTCCTCACATCTACACTTCGCACTGCAGGTCACAGGGTCAGAGACAGGAGGAGTCAGGGTCAGGCATGACCTACAGTGGGTGCAGCTGAAGATGTTTTCATCCTGAGTGTTCTTTAACCATTTCCTTCCCCAACCTGGGCTCAGCATGAGAGTGGGGGCAGAGCCAGGGGTCAGTGATAGAAGCCTTAGTGCCAGCTCCTGTTGGTAAGGGCCACCAGCTTCCAGATACTGTGCCAGTCACTGTGAATCCCACTGCATCTACATCTCATTGCAGATGTGACAGTGGATGTTTGTTATTTAGACTCCTTGAAGAGGAAATTGGAACTGCCAGATACTCAGCAACTTGCCCTGGTTTTGTAACTGTGGGCAACAGATCTCGGATATGAGCACTGCTCTGTCTGACCACAGCCTACTGCATTGTATTCTAAAAGTTTGGAGTACCACAACCAGGACCAGTTTCCTGGGTCTGCGTCCAGATGCATCCAGCTGGGAGCTGTTTACTTGTGTTATCCACGTGCCTCAGCTGTAAAAATCCCAGTGATGTGGAGGTACAAGCTGGCACACACAGAGCTCACTCAGAGAGGGCTTCTAACAGAAACACAACTGCGCAGGACCCTCCCCACACTGATGCAGGGACCCTCCCAGGGGAGAGAGGTCATCCTTGTCAAGGTCGAGACCTCAGAGAGAGGCCATCCTCATTGAATCACCGGGTATAGTGTTGGCTGTGAGAATTTGTGTGGTTGCCTTTGTCAGACTATGGTCCTCTTATGACTTGAACTTTGCCCAATTCTTTTATTCATCCATTGAAAAAAATTATATTTTATTTCTCCATTTTGCTGATGTGGTAAATTGCACTGATATTTCAAATACTGAATCAAACTTGCATTTCTGAGGTGATCCTTAATTAGTCTTGATGTATTGTCCTTTTTATATATTGTTGGATTACATTTGCTAGTGTTCCATTCAGAGTTTAAAAATAAATTTTCTTATTACTTAAAATACATTTCTTACTAATCTGTGCTTTATTTTTCTTATATCTAAGTAAAACTTTTTAGTTTTGAATTTTAAAAAGGTAATTACACTAATCTTACTAGGGTAATTATTTCCTAACACAAGTATGTGAAGTCGTTTGGTGGTGTGTATACCTTCAATTTATACAGAGCTGTACGTCAAGTATATCTCAATAAAACCAGAAGAAAAGGTAATTACACCCAATATCTACACCATAATCTACGGCAGACATGACTCACACAAACACACACTTACTTACTCAATGCACAATAACATACCCAACATATTTCTGTAACGACACTCCATGCACACACACAGCACACATACACACAGACACACAAACACACACACACACCACACTCAGACTCAGGCACATTCACACCACGCATACGCAAATGTCATTTACTCTGGAACAGTGACCCCAGCACGTACCTCCTACACAGGCATAGTAGCTGTCCCCACCCATAACTTGCTTACAGGAATTTCCCACGAGCTGGAAGAGAGTATAATGGGTGGTAGGGTCAGGAAGAGAGACACGCATGAGCATGGTGAAAAGCTGTCCCAACCTCCTTCTCACATTTATCCCACACTCACCGATATAATAAAGCCTTCCATGTCATTGGGTTTGGGTACCTCATATGCCTGGGTCTTTCCACCCACAATTTGAATCAACTACAAGGAAGAGAAGATGGCTTTGCAAACAGCCAAGTGTTGAGAACACAGCATTCTGTCCCGGGAAATAGGCTCTTGCCTGCTGCCTTGTTGGACTCCAAACCTGGCATCTGTCAGCAGCCCACCCTCAGGGAGTGGAAAGCTCCTCCACCCACATCTCTGGGGTATAGTTTACACAACAACTGCTGTTCATCTGCCGTGACTACCTGTTGTCCAAACACTTGGGCTGGGGTAGAGGGACATTCACTGGGAGATGCTGGGACAGCTGCCTTTGAAAGTTTTCCCCAGCTGGGCTCAAGAGTGGCACCTGGTTACCTGTTCTGAATTACCTGGTTTCTCTGAGAGTTTTTCATACCTATGGCGTAAAATTTGGTCTTAAAATTCTTAAACCTGCTGGCCTAATAGAAAAAAAGACTGTGAGGACAAAATATACAACTAGATGGGGCACAAAGTTGGAAATGATGGACTGGACTTACTTCTCGCTGAGAAGCCCATACTGTCCACTGGTCCAATGGTCCAGCAGTCAAAGCATAAACCATGCTGGCAGCTTTCTTGTCTGCAGAACAAGCAGGGAGTGGCCTGGTCAGCAAGCACCTGCCACAGGCGGTCAGGCCCACAGTGCTGCTCCCACATCTCCTCCTGGGGAGCGGCCACTCTGACCTGCGTACCCACCACCCAGAGCACCTGGAGGGAGAAGGAGCCTTGGTCTAGGACTCACTTGACAGATGAAGTGCCTGGCCCAGAGCACTTCCTGGTGGACCCTCACTAGGGGCAGGTGGACAGCCTTTATCCTGAATGGCAACTGCAGCTACTTCTCCGGTGAGGACAAGCCTCTCATTACAGCTCAGGGAGGAGCAGCCAGACTGACTGTCAGAGGTTTGGGCAGCAGCCCCCGCCAGCTCCCTGCCTTTCCCCAGCACCCTATGCTTCTTTCCTGATGAGGGCTGCAACACTACAGTCTACAGGCAGATGGTTCTGGGCCAAGAACAACCTTTCCCACTGCTGGAAACACAGTTACTGGATAAGAGTCTACCAGAGGGAAGAGGCTGAAGGGAAAGGAGGCAGAGCCAGAACTGTGGTGGACAGAGTGTGGGCAATCAGGGGGACGCCAATGTCTCTGCTCCTTAAACTGAACTCCATCTGCTCACTGTCCCTGGAATTTCTCTTTTCTTTTTCATGCAGCTCAACTGTAGGTCATGCACTTGATATCTAGTAAGAACCAGGAATGTAATGCATGATCCCATGTGGTTCTCAGGAACATCCCTGGAGGAGCTTTGCATCCTCATTGTGGGGAGGAGGAACCTGCAGCACAAAGAGGTCAAGGAGCTTGCCCCAAGAGTCAGCGCTAGGAGCTGGCCAAGGAGGGTCTGCACCAGCCCTCGCTGAGGCCCGGGCCTGGCTCTATCCCACCTGAGCACAGTGATGTCAGCAGGTAACTTACTAGCAGTGTAAACTTTCGCAATCTCATCACCTGCCTGAAACAAAATAAAGGAAAGTTGGGGGAGTCCAGTGAAATGATCCAATAATTCTTTAAGAACTTGACAAAGCAGAATAAATCCTCTGAGCTATAGAGTCCGTACCTTTCTCAATCCATCCTGCAGTCTTCTGGTTCCTGAGGGCCTTATCTCCCGAAGTCTTTGAAGACCTTTTTTTAGTTCATTTCTGAAAACAATTCGAAAAGAGGGTAGAGGAAGAATGCGGGTTGATGGCAGTAGAACAGCCCCAGCTGTCCTGGGACCACTCTGCCCTGTGCAGACCTGCCTGGACCTGAGGGGGCACAAGTGGCCCTGTCCTGACTCTTCTGCCCATGTTTCTGCCACTGACAGGACTAGCCCTAACCCTTCTTCATTTCCCGACTCAGTGAGTGTGGAGGATGGTGCTTTTCTGTCCCATAAGTAGAACCTGGTTTTCAATGTGCTCATCCCTGTCTCAGGCATCCAGACCTCAGAGGACTCATCAAGGGCCCTGCCTTGACCGTCCATGGTGAGAGGGAAGCACCCACGGATGTGCACCTGTGGATCCGGCACCCCCAACGTGATTGGTGGTATTGCTGGCACCTAAGGGGTCCCTGGTGAGGGCACATTATCCTCCAACAGGCAAGGATGAGTTTGGTGAAGTCACTCTGCTGATATTCCTGCCCTGTTCCCTCCTCTTCAGCCACAGACCCCTGAGGTTGACTTGGTCCCTTCCAGCCACTTCTCCCTCTGGACCAGTACTAAAGGAAGTAGTCAAGCTTCTCTGTTAGAGTCTAGGGCTCTTGGCCTTCATCTCTTACTGAAGAAACAGACCATAAGCTGGAAAAGCGACCTGAGGGCTATCCATGAAGGGGGAAAGAGTAGTGACTCCAGGCTGCCATGACAATGGGATGTCGTCCTCTGCTAAAGCAGATTGCAGGGGATAGGACTGGGATACACTAGGGAGTGCGGGCTTAGGTTCAGGTTTATCCAGTGTGATGGGCTGAGCTGTCACAGCAAGTCTAAGGAGGATGTGGTCCCTGAAGGCTGGCTTCTCACTGAGGGCAGAGGAGATGCTCAATGTGCAGTGAAATATGAGAGCCTCAGACCTACTCAACCTAGCCCATGAGAAGAGAAGACCTGGGACCCACTGCCAGGGCAGGCCAAAGCAGGCCTTACCTAGTTGAGTAGAAACACATGTCTTGGCACTTTCTAGAAGATTTCAGTTTTGTCATTCACACCTCAAAATATGCTGGAACTCTCAGTGCTCATGGTCTCCTGCCCAGGACTCACATCATCAGGCAAAGTTCTCACCTGAGTGGCTCTCTCTTGTTGCCCTTCCAGCTCTTCTCATACCATGACACCAGGCTCCTAGTACCCTCAGCAATCTTTCCTGCTCTTAAAGTATCCCACTCATAATGACAGGAGCTCCTGAACCTCTTCCCAGTTCTCACCCACCCCCACCAGCACACCTGAGGCTTCCTAGCCCTGTGCTGTCTGGCTTCTCCAGCACCAGAGCAAGGCCTATGTGGACGGTGCCCTCTCAGCCTGCTCGCCCTTAGTGGATAGGGCTCAGAAAGCACCAGCCCTGGCCCCAGTTCTGCCCCAAATCCTCTGCAGACCCACTAGAGTCACACCTCTTACCAGGCTCCCTCAGCCACTCTGGACTCACCTTGTACAGCAAGACCCACCCCAGTCCTCTGCCACATCCTCCTAAATGCCTAGGCAGCTTTGGAAATGCCCAATCCCAGGCTGAGACCAGCTCCCAGAAAGATTCTGTGGGGTCCTCCTGAGATGGACTTTCTCCCATGTCAAATCAGCTCTGCTCTCTCTCTTCTAAACTCAAACATGCACAAAACCACGCCTTCCTCAGCTCACTGAACAGGAAGCCTGGTCCCTGCTTATCCTGGGAGCCAGGCCTGGGGAGTGCTGTCTCCATGAACTGACACCATCACACTTCCTCCTTTGAAACCTTGCTGTTTGGTTTAAACTGCTGCTCGTGGCTTCTCTCCAAGGTCCTGAAAAGGGCTCTGTGCCACAAATCCTGGATCCACTTATTTCTAAATGACATTAACCTCTCTTTGGTATTTTACCCACTGAACTGGGTTCAGTGCATCAGGAGCATCTTTACCTCCCTGCTACTAGAAGCACGTCTTTTCACCTTCAGGCTTTTTGACACACTTAGGATACTGGTGTGTTGTGCTTCCCTCCTACATCCAGTTCTGCCTGGTGTTTGGAACCACACTCATGGGCTCCCTTGTCTCAGATCCACCAAGGGACCAGGCTCCCACACAGTGAAGCTCCAGCACTTCAGCATGCCCATCCTTGCCTCCTGGTTCTGACTCTGCCTGCCTTCTTCCCCCATGGCCCAGAGCAGAGACTGACACCCAGGGGAGGCACCCAGCACAGGCCAGTGTTCACAAAGCATCCACACATCTGCTCCACCAGATCCCAGGAGTCCTCACAGTGAGCCAGTTCTAAAAAAAAGTGAAGAGGGCTGAGAGGACGGGATGAGTGGAGGGCAGGGCTTGGAGGGAGTTGAGATGGTCCAGTAGCACAGGAGTCTACTAGCGTCAGTACAGTCAGGGGTCAGTGGGAGCCAGGGAATCAGGACTGGGGTCAGAGTGGGCACTCATGAGAGCCCAGGCTGGCGCAGCCTGCACCCGGTGGAGATCCTCAGCTTCTTGGGCCTCTCTGTGGCCCTGCCCACCAGGCCTACCTTGGAGATTTAAAATGACACTTACCTGTCAGAGGTGAGTGGCAGAAGGACATAGCTGACTGAGGAGTAGGTGATGAGGGAAATCCTCAGTTTAGGGCTGGGAAGGAAGCAAGGGCTCATAAGAAGCCATGAACACTGGTCAAAATTAATATCAATGAGCAGCCAGAGAGGCAGCGGTGCATGTCAATTTCTGTCCTACTCATCCCAACTCTTTTGCTTTGGTGTGCGTTTCTCTAATCCTGAAAGTTCCAATACTTTTGTGAAGGGTTCAGAGGCCTGTAAGACATATGATCTTGCTGAAAGTTGGTGCTAAGATGTCATCTTGGTCCATTTCTATATCCCCCACCCCAAGCTCCCAAAGCCCCTCTCTCTCCCTCTTTCTCTCTCTCTCTCTCTCTCTCACACACACACAGAAACATGCATACACTTCCTGCATGCACAAGAAAGTAGACACTTATGCACTTGTGCATGAGGGCCTCTCCATGGACCTCTCCTCTAATGTAAAATTCTTTGGACCTTACCACACTTCCTTCCTCTCTTGTCTTCCATGCTTGCCTTTTATCTCAGGGAAATTTTTCTACCTCTCAGCATCCATTCATACACACACCCTTCTCTCTTTCCCCCACTGTCTTCTGGTCCATTGACGCATCTTTTCATGAAATTGCTACCTAGCTGGGTTCCCCACTTCTCCTGGTTCAAGTTCCATCTCATTTAATCCATAATTATCAGATTTTTCTCCTTGACCATGTCAGATCCCCACCCTAGAATAACCTATAGCTCCCTATTGCTCACAGCAGGTAATCATAAACCTGGCACTATGAGCCTCCCAAACTGTCCTGTTTAGCCTCCTCTCTGTCTTCCCTTGAGTCAACTCTGCTTTCTAACCAAACAGACCACTCACTACAGAAGAAGTCTCCTTGATGGTTTCTGTTACCCTGTCTTTCCTCATCCTTTAAGATCTAGTTCAATATTCCACAGTCTCTAGGAAGCCAAGCTTGCCTTCTTTTTCTAAGAATACTTGCTTTTTCCTTAAAGTTGCAAGTAACTCCTTTGTTCTTATCTTTTGGTCCTTGGAACCCTTTAACTCAGTGTGTAGGTATGTGACTTGCCTGTTTCTTAATCTGTGAGGTCCTTAGGGACAGAGTGTGTCCCCTACATTGTGACCTGATTCCCAGGCAGGAGTCAAGAAAAATGTGCATGTACTTAGTCGCTCAGCTGTGTCTGACTCTTGCGACCCCATGGACTATAGCCTACCAGGCTCCTCTGTCCATGGGCTTCTCCAGGCAAGAATACTGGAGTGGGTTGCCATTTCCTTCTCCAGGGGATCTTCCCAACCCAGGAAATGAACCCAGGCCTCCTGCGTTGCAGGCAGACTCTTTACCAACTGAGCTATTGAGACCTCGTAAAATCAGTGTGATTGGTAATTCTTTCTGCCTCAGAACACCACCTAGGGCTCTCTGCTCCTGAAACCAAAGGACTCCCATTTTCACCGACTGTAAAGAGCTGTGTACTCTCTGGCAGAGAAAAACACCAGCCATACTTTGTAAACCTCTTCAGCAACCTTTCTGTTAAATCACAAACTTCATTCCAAGTGTTGCCTTCACTGTTCGACCTGAAAACAAAGAAGAATTGATTAAGAGGGATGAGGCATCTCCTTGTGGTGGGCAGATTTTCTGCCTCTCCAGTTTCCAGAAGGCGCTTGAACAACTCTTCCCCACCCCGTGTAGCTGAAGGCTGTCATACTCTGTTAGCAACCTCAGTGGGTCACCTTGGTGGTGACTTTCACCAGCGTGAGTGGTGGGGAAGGTGACCAACCTGACTCATGCTGGGGATGAGACACTCTGGGTAGCAAACCAGGTTGGTTGACACACAAGGAATAAGGGAGGATGCATTGGTTGGAGAAGTCTGAGCAATTCTAATATGTTTGCATGCCTGGTCCCCTAATTTTGACACAACAATAAGAGCCCTGGCCTCAGGCAGAAGAAGGATGTACTACTTAGATTATTTTATTTTACTACTTTCTTATCAGCCTGCAAAGCTGAGTGACTCTGAACACTGAAGGCCTTTTCTGGGAACACTCATGGGGAGGGGCAGAACTAGGTCTAGGATACTGCTATTCTGGTGCCATGATACCACACTAGCAGGGAAAGTTGCAGGACTTTCCTATCCCCACTTTCAGTTTCTCACTGCCATTGGCTCTGACTTCAGTTACCTGAATGGATAATGAGGAGGCTGGAGAGCCTCATGACCCCTTAAGTCTAGGTGGGAAGAACTTCCATGTGCCCCGCTGGCCAGGGCTCAAAGGTCCTTGCAATCCCATACCTCTGCAGGCTGCACTCCAGGTTATGAAGGGCAAATGTGGGTCTCTCTGGCTAATTGTTTTGTCAAGGTTCTGCACAAGGTAGTAGAGAAACTGAGGCTGGTGCCGTGTTCTGGGCTCTTCCTTGGTGAATGTTGGTTCATGTCTTTGATATGGATTGTGAGTCTGAGAAAACCACCAGGAGCTCCTTATTTTTACCTGCAGTGATCACAATGCCCATAAACACCCTGAATATCATGTTTAAATGTGTAATTCCCATATACCCAAGAGCATCTTCTCCTCTCTCCTATTCCTTCTGACTCCTCTTGGCTGTATCTAAAACTGTTAAGAGATGGTGAGTAAACTAAGGATATATAATTCTAACAATACTATAGTTATTATTCATGGAGTATGTATATACCAGACATATACATGCATGATTTCCAATGCTAAACACTTCTATGAAATCATCATTATTTGCATTTTACAGATGAGAAAATGGAAGTGCTTACAGATCAAGGAATTTCCATGGATGTGAACCAAAGAACTAGCTGTAAACCCCATGATTTACCCCCTCAACTTAGCAGACCTGGGAGACACTGCTGTGTGTGACAACTGTGGGTGACAAAGCATGAGACGGTCAACCTACCCACAATACATACTTTTTCTTGGGAGCTCCTATACATTTAATGCAAGGCAACTCCTTTCCTAACTATTCATACCACATTCTGCTTTCCTTCTCATTACTCCTCTCCACTGTGTTCTCCCTCACTGAAGAGGATTTTACAAAGAAGATATAAAGGAAACTTAAGTCTTTAACCCACCCACCTACTCTGGAAAAGGTTTCAGTGTGGGGTTATTTTGAATGAAGCTTTAGATTCTAGAATGTAGAAGAACACCAGTGTTTATGGCAGTGGAAAATATGACAGGGAGTTTCAGGTCCCTAGGAAGGAGGCACTCTAGAACCGAGCAACCACATGGGCTTCTGACAAACCAAGTTTCAATCATGACTTAGTGCCCTACTCTGAAATGAAAATGGAGACTAGGATCACCAGCAATTTGAGGATATCTTTGATATTATGCTTGAGACCAAAACATTCTACTGAGATAACTATGATGAGACATTGGAAGTTGTTGGGGCAGGGTCATGTAGGAGAGCTGACCTATAAGAAAGCTAAATTTTCTTCCTCCCCTAGTAAGAACTCAGTAGAGAAGGTGTAAACCTCAAAAAGCAGGAAACTGTAGTCAGTACAAGCACAGCATTGGAAACATGATTATATTGTCAGAAGGAAAATCTGAAAGATTTTTCTTGGAAGTGAGATCATGTGGCTGACTCTTGGAAGTGAGATCAAAAATGGGGAGGAAAGGGTTAGGAACCTCAAGACTTCTGCCGTGAACAGTAATAGTGTTTGATTTAAAATTAGTGTTCAAGTAGTTTCTCCCAAATGTGAAAATAAAATTGCAAACAAAAACTTATAGCATGAAGGATGTCATCAAAATGGCAGATTCTGAAAAATCTTAGCCCTCATTCCCCTAGGGACACATTGAACAAACCACCAGACACTATCAGCATCAACTTCTAGGAGTTCTGAAAAACAAAAATCAACAAGAAAGCAAATGTGCAGTCAACAAATAGTTCATTTCAAAATGGTAGGAAAGTTCTGTTGCATATTTCATCACATGACTCCCACACCTTCTCTGGCACGGTGACAATTTTGGTTTTGATCACTGGCTTTGTCCCATGTTGTCTTTGATCCAGAGGGAGGAATGTTGACCTTACTTACAAATTATTTTGTAAAGCCAGCCTTACCTGGCTGGTGTCAATTAGGATGTTTAAAATCAGCTGTGGGCATAGGTGACTTTAGAAACAGGCAGCTCAAGAGAATGCTCAGGAAAATCTTGAGAAGACTTTCAGTTTTCACCTCAGGCTGGTCGCTAGGCTCAGTGGTAGTCTGGCTAAGTGCTAAAGAAATGTCCTAGTAATAAGCATTCTACAAAGAATGGAAGATGTGGCTTCTCCCCACCACTCCCATGTCTTCTTACAGTTTTGTAATGATTTCATGCTTGTTTTCAGATCCTGGCATTTGGGAAATCTCTGTCAATACATTCAGTGAATAAGAATTACAGGAACAGAAACTCTAGTGATCACACACACACAACAAGGAATATTCTTTGCAAAAGTAGTTTGGAAATGTTTCAGAATAAATGGACTATTCCATGAGTCTATATTAACAGATAAAAGCAAATACAACCCAGTGAGCAATGATGAATTCTGCTTTCTAGATGTACCACATTATAGTAATAAAAATCTTAATTTTCAACAAAAATAATTGTAAAACATACAAATAAACCAGACCATTGTTCATTCAAAGGAAGTAAATAAAATTACAGCAATCATTCCTGAAGAAGCCAAGGCATCAGACTTACTAGAAAAACACTTAAAATCATCTTAAATATACTCAGACAGTGGGAAAAGAAAGACAAAGAAATAGAGGAAATCGGGATAGTGATAAATGAGCAAAATAAATATCATGAAGAACAAATTAATAACAAATCAAGGAGGAACTTTTGGAGCAGAAAAGTATAATAATAAATTGAAAAAATCATAATTAGGGTGGTTCAATAAAAAATTTTACTAGGCAGAGAAAGGAATAAGCAAAGTGGAGGACAGGACAATTGCTACTGTCTAGTGTTAGGAGCATAAAGAAAAAAGAATGAATAAAGGTGGTCAGAGTCTAAAGGACCTGTAGGACACACTTATGCAGAACAATATACATACTGTGTGAATTAATAAAGCAAAAAGAAAAAGAAACAGAAACATTATTTGAAGAAATAACATCCAAAAATGTCCAAAATTAGATAAAATATATGATCCTATGATTCCAAGGATCTTAGGTACAAATGAAATAAAATAAAGAGATTCACATCAATGTACAATATAATCATACTGTTGAAGACAACGACTAGGACTCTGGAGTTCAAATTCTGGATCCGTGTATTCTATATTGAGGCTTTGGTAGGTCATTCATCCCCAGGCCTTGAGCAGCCTCCTTGCCTCATGTGTAAAATGGAGATAATAATATTTATTCACATTATGAAGAAGACATGGTGAAGAAACTGCTTTCCTTTCCTACCCCTATCTCCAATCTAGCAACACACCTGGCTCCCCCAGCTGCCTACCATCCACACTCTGGATTCCTGTAGCCTCTGATTTCAAAATAGCTCCAGAATCTGTCCACTCATCACTGCCACCCATATCTGTTGGTCCACACCACCATCATCTCCTCCCTGGATTCCTGCACCAGACCCCTCACTTAGAAGGCTCTATTCTTGTGCCCTTCATCTGTGACTCTTTTAAACATGATCCAGTCACACACCTACTCTACTCAAAAGTCATCCAAGTCTTCTTGACACCATCTCAGTCTGTCACTATAGTCTTTCCTGGGTACCTGTTTAGAACAGTCCCTCCCTCAAAACTTCTCATTCTCCTGTCCTGATTTTCCCTCTGGTGTTTATCCCCATCTAATATCCTAGCTCCTCTTTGATTTATGTCTTGCCTCCTAAAATGAAAGCTGTAAGAGGAAAAGGACTTTTCAAACTGTGTTGTGTTTGCTACCTTATCTCCACTGCCTAAAACAGTGACTGGTGTATAGAAGTTTTCCAGTAATTATTTCAGTGAGTGGATGAGCAAAGGAACAAGGGAGTGAAGACTGCTCACCAATGGATGAAAGATCCAGACAACTTTGGGAGTGCCACCCACAGAAGTCTGACCCGCACCCCACCTCCCCACAAAGGGCACATGGGAGAGAGTGAGCTAGGGAGTCAGGGCTGGATCAGGGGCCCCTGCATGCAGTGCTGGGGAGTTCCCAGGGTGTGTGACTCTGCCTTCCCTTTATTTTATGCTCATCTTCCATGACTTCATCTGACACATGCTAGGAAAACTATACTCCCAAACTCCCAAACCATATTCCCAAACCAAACTCCCATTCATCCTCATCACAACCAGGTGAGGTAGGTATGAAGATCCCATTGTACAGATGGGGATGCTGAGGCAAGGAGAGGTGAGGCAACTTGCCCAAGTTGCATGACTGATGAGTGGAGTCTGCTTGACTGCAAAACTGGAGCTGCCTCCTCAGTGGTCATTATTCCCCTCTCCCCAAGAGTAGCAGGAAGCAGCCACAGGAGGAAGGCTGTCCTCATCCTCCAAATATTCTCATCTAGATGGCTTTGAAGGCACCAAGGCTTTCTACAACTGGACTGAGTGAGCATGGTTCCCAGAGAGACAAGGTTACTTCTCTGGGACTCAAGAATTTGCTGTGGTTTCAGACAAGCCTTGCCTGGCCCACTATAGATGTGCTCTGGGCTTACTCTTCTTACTCTAATGGCCTGAGGCTGGGGAATGGGTATGTAGGTCCCTTTCTTGGACACCATCTTCTCCTCCGCCCATTTGCAGAACCCAGCAGAATTTGGCCCTGTCACCTCCACCAGCCTCTGTCATACCTCATCCAACCTCTAGGAGTCCATTTCCCTTTTCCAAGAGATTGCATAGGCAAATACATTCCTACTGTGTCTTCCAGGATTGTCTTGAGGATGACAGATGCCAGTGATGAGCTTTGGAAACTGTTAAATGTTTCAGTGATACTGAGAGTCAAGCCACTGTTACTACTAAATAAGTAAAGCTTATCCTCAGTCTCACAGAGGAGTTGAAAATGGAACCAAGGCAATCTCTCTAGCCTGAGGATTTACCCCGCCCTTTCCTTTGAGGGTCAGAAGGTACCTAATGCACAGGCCAGGTTTCCCAGGGCCACAAGCAGACAAACCAAACTGTTCTTAAAGTGCACACAAATTAAAACGTGGTTCTCCAAGCTTTTGAAGAAAGCAGCAAAACAGTTGGAACCAGGAAAGCAAAGAACTTTCCAAGCAGAAGCACTACAAGAATGCCTAACAGAGGACACAGTAATCTCTCTGGAAAGAAAACAAAACCAAAATGCACTGTGAGCTTCTCACAACTGCTGAGAAGGCAGCGCCTAGCAATCACCTGCCACTCCAGTTGTTTAAAGGTCATGCATGTGCCTTACAGATCCAGGCCAAGCTGAAGTAAGAGAGACAGAGCCACTGGGAAACCTTATGGTGCCCTTTTTCCTTTCCAGAAGTAGAAATCCCAGGAAATAAATGCCTAGGGCTTTCTTTTTGTCTAGGAATAAGGAGGCCACAGAGGTCTATTTCTTGGGTCTGACCAAGACTGTCCTCACCTCCTCTCTCACAGAGCCTGGGGACCCCTGGAACCCCTTCTTCCCATCAGTGACCTTGGTGACAGAGGTGCCTCGAGAAGCACAGGGGGCCAGATGGGAGGGCTACTCACGCATCCAAGACTAAATAGAGGTCAAAGGCACCATCACAGTCATGCAACTTGCTCGCCTTGCTCCTGATGCTCCTGTGGAGGCTTCCCCAGTCTGGGCTGAGGTAGCGGTGAATGGTTTTCCAGCCAAAGTCAAGGTGGCGGAAACTTCTCCAGTTCAGGACATCGTGCTGGAAGCTCCCGGCGCTCAGCAGTGGAGGGAGCAGCAAAAGCAACAGGGAGAGCCCGGGGCCAGGTACCCAGGGCCCACTGCTCTCCATTTACCTGGCCATACCTACGGTCCTGTTGGACCCGGGCCACTCTAGGCCCCCTCAGGCCACAGCCCCCATGACTTCTGTTGCCCAGGGGCCTCCACCCCTCTAGCCCTCTAACCACAGTGCACTGTGAGCCTCCCCTGGTACCTCCCCTGAGGGTGAAGAGGCAAAGATGGACAGCTTTGGGGCCCTTCCCCCGCCCCAAGGAAGCAGAATTCCCTGTGATGACCCTTATAATGGACAGGAAGGTTGGCATAGTGACTTTATGACCTGCAGTTCTACTCAGTGTCCTGCATGTGGGCAATCCTGGGGGGAGGCAGGGGGTCTTTGGAGGGGCAGTAGGGCGAGACCTCTGTCCCTCATCCCTCTCAGGGGGCCACTAAAATCCTGGAGAAATCCTACCTTTTTGTCAACTGAAAGAGGGCAGCTGAGATGGCTTAGATGAGGACATCACAGTTGGGAGGAAGTCTGGAAAGTGGGAGTGTAGAGTGTTTCAGTGGTCATTCCTGTGACTCAGTGGATGGAAGGATCAAGAAGGGGAAGAAGGTCCTGCAAGGATGTCAAAGTACCTTGTGAATGAAGGACATGCCAGTTATTTTCTGTTGTTTAACAAACCACCCCAAACTGGGTGACATAAAACAAAAGCTATTTTATTACGGGGCTTCCCTGGTAGCTCAACCTGCAGTGCAGGAGATCCTGCTTTGATTCCTGGGCCAGGAAGATCCCCTGGAGATGGGATGTATTACCCACTCCGGTATTCTTGGGTTTCTCTGGTGGCTCAGGCAGTAAAGAATCCACCTGCAGTGTGAAAGACCTGAGTTCGATCTCTGAGTTGGGAAGATCCCCTGGAGGAGGGCATGGCAACCCACTCCAGTATTCTTGCCTGGAGAATCCCATGGACAGAGAAGCCTGGCAGGCTACAGTCCATGGGGTCACAGAGTCAGACATGACTAAGCAAGTAAGCACAGCTTTTATTATGCTCATAGTTTCTGAGACCAGAAATCAGAAAGGGGTGACTTGTGTCTCCATAGACTAACCTTGGACATAAACAACTCTGAGTCAAAAGTGTTTCAAAAACTCCGATTGTGAATATAAACATTTTTAGAAATAATTTTACCAATTTATTTTATTTTATTTTGTTGGCACAAAAGAAGAGAGAAATATGCTGCAAGTCATTCTGTAATAAATATAAAATAGATCTTCAAGTATGTATAACAAAAATACAAAAACTACAAATGTTTATGCATTGTGTTGGAGATTTTTGTAGTTCTTATTGTTCAAGTGGTGTTTTAAATAATGGAATATCTTAAATAAAAGATATTTTGAATTGATGAAATCCAGTATACTTCTCCCTACAGCTTATCAGATTTTCTTTGCTTCATATCTGTCATGACACTTGCTATTGTCATATTTTTATATATTTTTATATTGATTCAACATCTGTTTCAGTCTGAAGGGATTGATATTCTGTTCAACAGATTTTGGGTCATTCATTTTCTGTCCTTTGTGAAATGTCTGTTTCTGCATGTATCCATTCTCCAATTCAGTTGTTTCTCTTTCATATTGATTCCTTAAAATTCCATGTTTATTTAGGATACTAATCTTTTATCAATTATTGCAAAGATCTTCTTCAGTGTGTGGCTCTTTTTTCACTGTATTTAATGCCTTTTAATAAAACAAATTTTTGGTTTTTATAAAAATGAAGTATAGTTGATTTGTAATGTGGTAGTTTCAGGGGTACAGCAAAGTGATTTATATATATATAAATATATGTATTCCTGAATAAGTGTGTGTATATATATATATATATATATCTGTATTCTATGTGTATATATGTACTCTTTTTTAAGTTCTTGATTTTAATGTAGTTGAATTTGTCACTTTTCAGAAGCTGTTAAGTTTTGCACAACTTGTATCTTATTTAAGAAATTCTTCTTTGTTAAGGTGAAAGAGGTTTAATCTTAAAAGTTTTAAAGATTTGCCTTTCACACTGACATCTTGAATCCACCTGGAATTAATTTATAAGCATGATTATTGGCACGGATCTGATTTCATGTTTCCCATATATAGAGCAAATGTCCCCACATCGTTTGCTGTCTGTTCTAGTTTTTCCTTCATGATTTACACATCACCTCTGATGTGTTCAAAATCCATAAGTTGTGGGCCTGGTTCTGTGCTCTCTGTTCTATTGCCTTTATCCATTTATTGGTTTATATCCAAAGTGTTGATACAACACTGTCTGAATTATTATCATGTGAATGATTGTATTACTGTTTTTCACTGTCCCTTCCTCTTGTAGAGGATTGCTTCCCTGCCATATTCATGGCAGACTTGGACTTGATTCCACCGAGGAAACATTAATAGAAGTTACATGTGCCACTTCTGAACAGAATTTTTAAGAATCCAGGTGTGACTTAAGCAGAACTAACAGCTTAGTAGTTGAGTAAGTGAGAAGTGCTGCTCCCTCTTGGGAATCTGGGATGGACAGGTATATGTGTAACAGTGAGATATATGAGTGAAATAAAGTTTGTGTTTTTTGGCTGATAAGATTTGGCAGGGTTGGTTATAATCTGATACACAGAGAGCTAGAGCGAGCCTTGATAGTACAAGGTAGATCACCCATTGAATTTTTCTTAGGGTAATTGTTGGCCATTTGTTTGTTCATGCATGATTCATAGAATCAACTCTCGAATTTAGAATTGACTCTTCACTCCACCAAAACCCTCTTAATATTTGTTTATGATTCATTTTGAGGTATTTGAATCTGCAATCAGGACTCCTCAGTGAACATGGGAATATCTTCACTTATTTAGGTCTTTCTCAATACCTTTCATTTCCCTATGAAGATCTTCACTTCTTTTGTCAAATACCTTCTCTAAATAACATTTTTTGCTGCTAGTGTAAACAGTACTTTAAATAGAGTTTTAAGTTGTTTAAGTTTTAAGGTACTTATTGATTGATACAGTCACTCAACTTGCTATGCTCTCATTTTAAAAATTTAACTATAAAACCCACTGGATCAGCATAAAAATAAAAAACATTGTCCTGACTACTCCAAAGAGTAGAGCTATGATGGAGGCATTTTTTATTTTTAAGAGAATGCCTCTAACACATCACCATTAAGAATGATACTGAAAGTTTTTGGTAGAAATCCTTTATCAGATAAAGGTATTTCACTAATGTTCTTGGTGTGCTAGAGATGAATGAATGCTGAATTTTAACTAAAATTTTTTGTATATTTTGTGAGAAACACGTATTTTCCCAGTAATCTATTAATATGGCTAATAAATTAATGCAGCTGAAACATTAACATATTGTCAATATTTTCAAATTGGCTATGATATTTTGTAACTGCTGGATTGAATTTAGTATTACTTCAGATTTTTTTTTGCCTATGCTCATGAGAGAGGCTAGTCTGTAATTTCCTATTTTTGTGCTGTTCTTATTTGGATTTGCTATTAGGTAAGACTAGCCTCCTAAAATGCACTTGGGAGGGTTTTGCATTGTCTTTGGAAAGATTTTGAACATGATCACAATGATTTACTTCATGAATATTTGATATGGTATCTCCTGTATCTGGTATTTTCTTTGTGAGAAGTTTTTTAAGTACTGATATAAATTGTTTGATATTTACTGAGTGCTATGAACAGAGGAGCCTGGTAGGTTGCAGTCTATGGGGTCACTAAGAGTCAGACACGACTGCACGATTTCACTTTCACTTTTCCTTTTATGCATTGGGGAAGGAAATGGCAACCCACTCCAGTGTCTTGCCTGGAGAATCCCAGGGATGGGGGAGCCTGGTGGGCTGCCGTCTATGGGGTCACACAGAGTTGGACACAACTGATGCAACTCAGCAGCAGCATGAACTGAATTGTGCCCTTACTGCCAAATGCATTTATCAAGCCCTAATCCTTAATGGGACTGCATTTAGATGTTTGGTGTTTAGGGAGGTGATTAAGGTTAAATGAGGTCTTAAGTGTTGGGCCTAAGTCTAGTATCCTCATAAGAAAAGGAAGAGACACCAGAGATGGCCTTCAAACAGTCACAGTGAAAAGGGAGTGTTTGGGACACAGACGGAAGGCTGCCTACAATTCAGGGAGGTTTCATCAAAAACCAACCCTACTGACATCTTGATCTTGGACTTCCAGTCACTGTTTCTTGAAACTCTCTCCTTTCTCTGGGTTCCGTGTCCTTCCTTCTGAAACACATTCTTCAGTAGTTCTCTCACCAAGGTTGTGAGGGTGATCAACTTAGGCTCTGTACCCCTGAAAATATTTGTGTTGTGTTCACTCTTGAGTAACAGTTCGGTTAGATACAGAATTCTAGGTGGACAGATTATTTTCAAGGTTGTCCTAGAAGTCTTGTAATTCCACTAAGGCTGACTGAGCTGCACATTAGATTTGATTTCTCATGTCTATATTAATTAGTGGGCTCTCTTCACAGAAGAGAAGTTTTGCTTTGGGGACTGTTACCAGAACTTTAATGTCTGTTCTGAATTTCACTTTGCCCACCTCAGACTCATCATAATTTTGTTCCTTTACAATCTTGCCTGGTGTAACAGATGCTCTCAAATCTGAGAAAAGCACAGAGCTTAGTCACCTTATGAACCCACACTTTCACGGGTATCCAGCACAGTTATTGAGTGACCGAAGGAAGGAAGGTTCCCTTTAGTCCCTCAAGGGTTCTCTCTTCCCCTGTCTAATCTGTTCTGCCCTTCTGCTGGGCTCAAACAATGTGACCCACACACCTGGACGCCACTGCAACCATTCAGGTTACCTCAGACTCCACTCCCACCTCCTCTCACCCTCACGCCAGGGATATGTCCTGTTTAGTTCACGATCTGGCATGAATGCAGTCTCTTAGAAGGCATTTGCTCTTGTCCCCAACCCCTTAGGCCCTGGCCTCTCCCACCTTCCGTGGGTAATTAAGTTCCCTGACACCTGTGCATTCTGTGAAGTCACAGAACTCACCGTTATCTGGCAAAACGCTGCCATTTCAGAACTGAGGTGGCTCAGGAAAGGCTGAGAGGCCGAGGGTCAGCTCCAGTGAAGTCTGGGAGATTCTCGGGGAAGCCACAAACATGGAGCTTGCACGGCCGCTCAGCCTGGAAGGGAAGGAGAGCCCATGACGCTGATGGGGGTCTCTGGGCAGCGGACGGAGGATCTGCAGCGGCATGGCACGGACCGTCTGTACTGAGTGTCTGTCGCCTGGGTCTCGGAGACCTAAGAGGGTAGAAGTCGCAGCACACAGATCAAGTACAGCCTCTGCGGTGGTCCAAGTGCCACCTCCAAAGGCAAGCCCGACAGGGCACTCTCCTCAGTCCTGAACTTGCGAGGCATGGGGCAAGACCTGAGCCAGCGGGGACAGCCGGTCGAGATATGCGGAGCGGGGCTCGCGGGCGGGCCAGGCCCAGTCAAGAGGGCTAGGTGAAGGCGTGCGGCGCGGCGTCCGGATCTGCGGCGGGCGGTGCCGCGAAACGGGTCTCCTAGGCGCCCCTTTCTGAGGGCTCAGCCCATTCGCAGGCCCTTCCCAGAAACCCTTCTGCCCCCTGCGGGCGGGGCCCGAGGCCCCGCCCCAGAGGCCCCGCCCCAGAGGCGGGGCAGTCCGGGAAGGCGGGGACCAGCCGGCCCCCGGGGCTCGCGCGCCAAGTTCCGATCCGCATGCCACTGCCCTGACCTGGAGGCGGCCGGGGCTGCCAGCGCGTCCCCAGCGCCGCGAGAGAGCCGAGGTGAGACGCGCTGTCCTGCCCCCGGGACGGGGCCACGAATGGGCGTGGGGGTCGGGAGTCATCTCATTTCTACTGGCCGTACCCTGGGGCAGGTTCTCAGCCCTTTAACTGCTCGGTTCTTTCCTCTGTCACAAGCTTTCTCCATCGCTCCTTTTCTCCCCACTCCACTCCCTGCCCTCTGCCTCTGTCTTTTGTCTCCTGCTTCTTTCTGTATTTTTCTCTCATCTGTTTCACCTTTTCTTGTCCATCGTTGTTTTACCTGTGTCCCCCGTCCTTCCTTTTCTCTCTTCTTCTTTCTCACTCTCTCCTGCTCCCTTCTTCCCCTTTTCCTTCCCCCATCAAGAACTCCACCTTGGATTTTTATTTTTATTTTTCTCCTAGGTTGACTTTTTGGGCTGCAATTCTTTTAATTCATCCCTTCAGCCATTCACCCATCCTCTGCCACTCTGTTATTAGCCAGAGTTTGTGCTGGGTACTAGGGTAATAACGATGCATTTGTTCCAGATCCTTTCTCCAACTGATTATATCAAAGATCTAGGCATGTAACCTATTCAGTGCCAGTTGTGGGAAAATACATAAAGGATCAAGTTATAAATCTCTGAGTTTTCAGGGTGAGCTGAAAGAAATACTCGGCTTTAGAAACAAGACATTGATTGAATCCTTTTCTTGGTATTTGGCCTTTAGTAATAGACACAGACATCACCAGGAAGCTAAATTTTGCAGGAACATTAAGGGAACATGGGGGCCCATACCATCCTTATGTGCAGGCAGTACAAGGCCAGGTTGGTGGGGAGGGCGAGGGTGAGATTCAGAGAGCAGTTGTGGGAAGGCAATAGGCCAGAGCTTTGCATGGGAAACATTTGGGTGAGAGTTGAAACAGGAAGTTAACTATAAATTTATAAAGTGTATACTTGTCAATGCTGGTGGTGTGCAGAAATTAGGTTTCATAATTACTGTTGAATGATCCAGCCTTCTTATAACAATTATTGTGATATTGGAGAGTAATGTTTTTGTGTACATAAGGTAAGACCACAGTAGAAAGGTCTCATTTTCATATCCAAGATACTAAGTGAAGAAATATAGAAAAACAAATGATTCAGTTTTGAGAAATGAAATAGAAAATATTATATAGCAAAGCAGTTTTTTGCTTCTTAAAAATTTAATCAAACATGATTTCATTATTTGATGATATTTTTGTGGCATGTATGTTCAAACATGCACATACACATACATAATATATATATATAAAATTGTAAAAAAGGAAACTTCTTTGGTTTTAAAGCTGCTAATTACTGCCCAATATTTGAGGCTTTTGTTTTTCATAATTAATTTAACCTGCTCTTTGAGTTTGTTATGATATTTAGTGATAATTCAGCTTATTTAACTTTTGGTTGATACACAAAAGGAAATTTGTCAGTAGATAAATCACACAGAATTGAACAAAAATTAAAAATGATGGAAGATTTCAGTGTGTTTATTGAAAGAAATCTTTTTTCCCACTTTATGTCAAAGAGCACTGGACACTTTCGTAGGTATAGGCATGACACTTTGATTTGGGAGACTGTTTTCTGGACTGAAGAGTTAAATTGTCTTTTGCATCATTTAACCTCTGACTTCCCAGGTATTAGAATTTGGGGAGGGAGAGGGAAGGGATGCTTTTCCAGTGATATAGAACCATCATGTCTGCTTTGATTAGCAGATTTCTTTTTCAAAAAACCTGAGGTGACAACTTTTCTTTAAAACAGATGATCACATAACTTTTTTTATTCTAGGCAAAATCTTGAGCTGCAGTGCTTTTGAGTTTCTTTTCCTTCTCCAATAGACTGCATCTCTTCTTCTTTCTAGCCAATGATGTTCTTGTAGAGTCTGACTATTGTACAAACCATGGACTTTTCCTCTGAAGACTGCCACTGGAACTGGCCAAGTTGTGTTAGGACTGCAGCTGACCTCACAGTGGGCCTGGGAGCTGGCTACATCCTGGGAATCCTGCATTTGGTTTTGCTTGATCATAGCAGGCATTGCTATTAGAGGGATGTAGGCATAATTGAATGTGGAGCCTTCGAGGGCTGGCTGGGAAGTCCTTCTCTTCTTTCCCACTGCATGGCACCAGTAACCAGCCTCCAGGAAGGCCTGGACAAGTCTGCAGTTTTTCATTTTCTCAGGGTCCTATGGCTAGAGGATGTCTAGAAAACATGTATATTTCCCTTTTAGGAAAACCCAGCAACACACAATCCACATATAGAAGAGGTAGATAGATCATTATCCTTAGAAATCTTCCAAAAAACTATGAGAAGCTTCTCCAGTGTCTGAGGAAACCAAAGTCTTGGGGCACAGAAGACTTTTTTCTCTTCTCATTTGTTTTAGCTGAAGAGGAAGCGGTAGAGAAAGGCACTGTTGGTAGAGATGGTTTCACTGAACAAGACCTAGTTTCTGAGCTGCATCTTGGGACAGTTGGAGGCTGGCTGGTTAGCTTGGGGTGGTGAGTATATTCAGATATCAGTAACATGCTATCATTCCTTTGCTTGAGAAAGAGTTCTTTTTCCTGTAAATGGAGGGGGAAGGTGGGAACTGCCCAGGCCATTTGGTCCCTTATTAAACACGATTGTGTGCAGGTCCCTGGAGGGGCATGAGTGGAGGGAAGGCAGCACTGAGCTTGTCTTTAACCTTCAGAACTAATATGATAATAAATTATGAGTATGATGATAAACCTGGGCTTCCCTGGTGGCTCAGACGGTGAAGAATCTGCCTGCAATGCAAGAGACCCGGGTTCGATCCCTGGGTTGGAAAGATCCCCTGGAGAAGGCATGGCTACACACTCCAGTATTCTTGCCGGGAGAATTCCAGGGACAGAGGAGCCTGGCAGGCTACAGCATATAGGGTGGCAAAGAGTTGGACACGTCTGAGTGACTGACGTTTTCACTTTCACATTTATTGAGGCAGGCTCTTTGGCACTCTAGGTATGTTAATCCATTTAATCTTCACAACCACCTCATTAAGTGGGCACTAAGGTGGTCCATAGTGAGACAACAGAGGCAGGGAGAGGATCCGCACCTTGTCCAGGGTCACGTGATTGGCAAGAGCAGAGCTGTATTTGACCCAGGGATTCTGACCCTAGAAACCCACACACTCAAAGTATCTGTGAATATGAGGCTGGAAGGTTCCTGGGACAGCCTGGTTAGAACCTGAACAGAAAGCTAGAATGTGACCAGTGCTGCTCAGATGAAGGAATGATTGGAGTCTGCAGCCAGGGCCCCAGCAGTAGATAATAAACAGAGAGGCAAGCGCTTTTACACTATGGGGCAGGTGAGGCTTCACCTCTCAGAAGACTTCATGTTTTGGTCAGTAGATCCCTGGTTGAAGGCCCAGAAGGACTGAATCCTAAGGGAGAAGTATTCCTGGTGGTAGGAGAGGATAGACATGGTCAGACCAACTCTTGACTTGGGAGGCTCAGTTTCAGAAATCTGCCAAGATCATTATTTCATCTAAAGGCTGGGAAAAGGTTGGAGAGTCTGGGATTGAAGTCAGATTGTTTCAGTAGGAAGACCACAAGTGTGTAAGTGCAAGTGTTAGTTGCTCAGTCGTGCCCAGCTCTTTGTGACCCCATGGACTGCAGCCCACCAGGCTCCTCTGTCCATGGGACTTTCCAGGCAAGGATACTAGAATGGGTTGCCATTTCCTTCTCCAGGGGATCTTCCTGACCCAAGGATCGAAACCGGGTCTCCTGCACTGCAGGCAGATTCTTTACCATCTGAGCTATGAGGGAAGCCAGCACTGAATGATGTCTGTAAGGCTCAGAGGTTTGTCTTGCTGAGCTCAGACTGAAAGAACCAAGGAAGGCAAGAAGAGTCCCATCTCAGGACATACACAGCAGAGTGACAAGGATGAGTAAATAGTGTCAGGGATCAAGAGCCCGGAATGGACTTAGGCTATTGAGGGGTGTGGACGACAGCAAAGTTCCTTTAATACTGGATGGGAGGGAAAAATCAAGGGATGTATAGATCCACTTGCTGCCAGAACAGCTGGTGTCAGTGGAAGGAGAAAGAGGAGGGGGCAGCTCTGCTTTGCTCAGCGATTGTCTGGACAGAGAATCTCCTTCCAGTTACAAAGGGAATTGGTAGGTCCATGTAGGAAAGAGGGACAGAAGCAGCACTGAGCGGCTGTGCCTGTGGTCCCCTGACCTCAAACAAGCCACAACAGACTCATATCATTTTTCATTTGAAAGACTTCCTGCTGGTGATTGTCGCAGATGCAGTGGACTGAGGTTAGATGGATCCCCAGAAGGAGTTTGGTAGGTCATTCTGTGCACTTGCCTTAGTGACCTTACCTGGCAGTGTTGGTGCATGTGAGAGTGGTGACCCTCACGGAGGGTGGACAGCATGCGAAGGTCTTCCATCAGTTCAGTACCTTGGTCTCCACCTTTTCTTCCTTCTCCTCTTTGTTCTCATTATCATTATTAAGAGTTGGGTGATAATGCTGACAAGTGATTTGGGTTGGATTCAGTAGTCGACAGAATCCAGATCTAGAAGAGTCTCAAAAAGCTGAAGCAGCACAGAGTTTACTGATATGGCATCTGTAGGTTGTAGATGAACACATTTGGATTGAGGCTTGCAACATTCCTCATGTAGTTGTTGTGAAAATGCCATGACATAAGATGTGTTAAGCTCTTGGCATCTCTGGCATGTACATTTATGTAGTCAGTAAATGGTGAGATGTATATTTATATCATGAAGCATTCTGGTAGCAAACATTCCAGCCTGCAGGAAGACGGCATGTTCCAAATTTTATAGCTGAGAAAGTCACCTCATCTGTCGTTCAGAACACTGGAAGTTCTGTCAATGGGGTCTATATGGCTGTGGTTGGACAATGTTGCCTGAGCTGTGAGGGCAACGCAGTGGGGCTGTATGCAGAGGGGTACAGGGGTGCAGCCAGACATCAGTCAGCAAGGCAAGCCTCCTGCCCAGCTGTGGGAAACATATCAGGTGGGTTTAAACTGTCATCTGGAAAACAGCGAGGGACAGAGAGTAAGAGAGAGAAAGGGGGAGTTTGTGTGAGGGTGTATGTGCATTTGATTGTGTAATAGTGTGTATGTGTTTGAGTGTATGTGAGTATGTACGTGAGAGTATATACATGTGAGATTGTGGGTGTATATGTATTGTGAATGTATGTGTATGTGAGGGTGTGAGTGTGCCTGAATGTGTGTGTGTGTGTGTGTTTGTGAGCTTATGGAAGCTCAGCAACAGGGCTTCAAGCAGACTGCTTATTCTTTGACAAAGGTGGAGAAATGGCTTCATCCCAACTGGAGTCACACATGGTTAGATCTGGGAAGGACTGTGGAGATGATTTAGTCCAACCCCAGTTGATGGGAAATTGAGGCCGAGAGAGGTGGGAAGGACAGCTCAGGGTCACTCGGTGCAGTGATATGGCCACCTCTGCCTCTTCAAGTAGCCGGCACTAATCCTGATGTCAATGGCATCCCCTTTGAGGACTCAGTTTGGAAAAGATATTTGGAGAGGCTCAGCGCCCCCTGGTGGCCCATCTTGGAAGTCCTTTCAGGCTGACCAAGCAGGAGACCCGAGTCACACTGGAGTGGGCTGAAGGGTAGGGCTGGCATGTGTTTCCTCACAAACTGTTCAAACTTCACAGGTTAGACAAAGAATCTGACTTCTTGATTGGATAAAAGCTTGGGAGAAATTGGAGAGAAGGCAGGAAAAGGAAGCTTAAACCTTCTATATACCCCCCTTTGGTATTTGGGTCACATAGTTGACCTGGTTGTTCATCAGTGGGGACTCTGGGAAGGCAACATGGCCAGTGCAACCAAGCAGGCTTTGGGGGCACACACCTGGGTTTTGGTCCCAGCTGTGCCTCCTCTTTGTAGGAGACATTGGGCAGGATGTTTAGTATTGCAGGACCAGGGTCCTCTTCACTCATGAAAAACGATGATCACCCTCTAGGTGTATGAGGTGACATATGAAGATGAAAGGAGGTGACATATACAAAACACATGTCACAGACTTCTGTTACCAAGATACTGATAAGGAGGGCGGGTATCTGTGATGCCTTTTACAGGTGGAGCAGGAGGCAGGCCAAGAAGAAGAAGCTGAATTGAACACAAATGATGTCCCTGTGAGGAAGGATCAGAGCTGCCCACTCCTCAGGCCCTCCTGGGCTCAGGATATATATTTCTTAATGATAAAATCTCAGAACACTCAGGGGAGTGTGGTCCAGCAAACCTCTCACAAGCTGAGGAGACACTTAGAGATGAGTCTGCAAGCTTCAAGAACTTGCTGGTGGGCTGATTAGGGAAGAAGAGAGATAGTTGTCTCCCCAGCAGGGCTGATGGCTCCCTCTCCTTCCAGGTGCCATCACATATGGCCATTGTGTGTCTCCCCTGCAGCCGTGAGCACCTTGAGGGCAAAGCAGAGGCTGATTCCCCTGTTAATGGCAAGTAGGTTGGCACAAGAAGACCTCTGACAGTTGACTGGTGAGCAGAGGAGAAGCAAGTGGATGAATGTGTGAAGAACAAGTGTAGTCAGGAGAGTGGAGAGGGGAGACCCACACTTGTGGCAGGGTCAGGGCCTGATAGAAAGGTGGCTGCCCCCAGGTGTGGGAGCAGGGGCAAGGAACAGCTCCAGACCCAACCTGCCTTGCCTGGGTGTTTATTGTTCAGTTTTTACCCTCTGGTCACCTGTGCAGCAGACTTCCTGTCATCAAGTGCTTGAAGTGTCCTGGCGTGTGTGATGATTTGTAAAAAAAAAAAAAAAAAATCAGCACACTGAGCAGCAAGGAACAAAAACTGATGTATATCAGGGTGCAGAGATGTTAGAGGGTCAACCAAGTCCCAACTGACTGGTGGAAGCCTTGTGCCGCTGTTAACCCAGCAGCTCCTACCTGGATGCTGATAGATGCAGGGCAGTACTGAGTCTGGCCTCTGGGTGGCAGCATTGTGCACTGGGGTCCTTCCTCACTGATGAGGTCCTTCCTCACTGATGAGGTCCTTCCTCACTGATGGGGTCCTTCCTTACTGATGGAGTCCTAGTGGGGAAAACGTTGTGCTCTGAGTCAGGGTGAGTTGCTGCATCTGTAGTAGTCAGGATGCTTTGGATGCAAAGAAGGAAAAACTATTTCTGGTCAGGTTAGCTGAGAAGATTAATTAGAAGGGTAGCTCATATAACACCACACAGCTGAAGATTGGCAGAGTTTGAACTCACATGGACTCTTGTCTGCCTTCAAGTTCATGCTCTTATCAGCAATTGGCTCAAGATACTGAGGTCCCAGGTGAGGGGAGTTCTATAAGTTCCTACAGCCTGCATGCTATGATATGTCCCTGAGTGAAGAGCACACTTTTCATGACCTGTTGCTTCCTATCTCTGCAGAGCCTTGTGGACCAAGTGTGCTGGCCCAGGCCCCAGGGGAGCCGTTCAATCTCACAGCCACTCCCCTGGCCAAGCCCTCCAGAAACTCCCGGGGCTGACAGCTGCTGGAGGATCCACCTTACTGAGCTGGCTCAGGCCCTGTGGCCCCCATGGCTACTGGGAAGGGAGTTCTGCAGAGCCCTTCAGCTGAAAACAGATGGCGGCTTAGTGAATCTGAGCAGGGCTGGGGCCGGAAGCCGGTGCTACTGGAGAAAACGAACCGCCTGGGCTCTGAGACTGCCCTGGGCAGCAGTGGCCAGGATGAGGCCTGTGCCGAGATGGTACTGTCAGTGGCCCCAGGCAAGCTCAGGCTGGGAAAGCTGATGCCCCGGAAAACTTGGTGGGAACAGGGACAGAGCGCCTTCACAGAGGTGCCTCGGCTCAAGAAGAGGCTCGGGGGTGGGCAGGCCCAGGACAGGGGGCACAGTGGCCCTGCAGGCCAGCCTGGCCCCCAGCAGCTGACCCTCGATATCCCCAGGGACCTAACTGGCAGCACTTGTGTCTCTGTGTGGCCCAGTGGAGCCCGCAGGGAGCAGAGAAGTGCCTTCAGCAAGCCAACCAGGGGTCCAGCAGGGAGACTGGGACCAGCCTGTGTCTTTCAGGCGGGTGAACCTGCAGACGCCCTGGGAGAGCTGCTGGGACTCATCAACACGGTTGATGTCACTTGCTGGGGTCGACTTTCCAACTCCAAGCTTTTGGGTGATTTCTGGAACCTGCAAACGGTGCCACCAAATGCTCCTCTTTGCGGCACTTTCCTGGGCGGCCCCACGCTGTGGCTCAAGCATACCACGGTCCAGATCCCCACGCCCCCATCCTCCTCCTCCACCAACTCTTGGGCCCTGCTGCCCCCTACACTCACCTCCCTGGGCCTGTCCACCCAGAACTGGTGCGCCAAGTGCAACCTGTCCTTCCGCCTGACCTCCGACCTGGTCTTTCACATGAGATCTCACCACAAAAGGGAGCGTGCGGGACCCGATCTGCATTCTAAGAGACTGAGAGCAGAGGCCCTCACATGCCCCATTTGCCACGAGTACTTCCGCGAGCGCCACCACCTCTCCCGGCACATGACTTCGCACAGTTAACAGGTGGTTTGGAGCAAGCGTTTGGCCATGAGGCCAAGATGGCTCACGGGGCCTTCCTCTGAAAAGTCTGGTCACAGTTGTCTGCAGGGCTGTCTCCTTGGGCATTTGAGGATGAACAGCTCAGTCATAACTGGAAAAAGACAACCAGTCCCCATGATGTGTTTTAAAGGAAATAAAGTTGTGAAACAGTGCACTTTGCTAGTCACAGGGTATGGTGAAGAATAGGCACCAAGCGTTTCTGACATTTGCAGGAGTGGGGGCTCTTCTCCTGTCAACATAAATTTTGCTCCACATGGAAGCAAGTTTGGCACACAACGTGGGCTTTGGAGGCAGACAGACGTGGGTCGGAATCCTGGCCCTTTCACATAGTAGCCCTGAGCTTGGGCAAACTGCTCTAACTGTCTGAGTCCCAGCATTCTTATCTGTAAAGTGGAGATGGTGACACCTGTGTCTGAGGGATGTTGTCAGGATTATATGGGAAGGTGTGTGGGAAATGGCCAGCACATGCCTGGCAGTGTCATCACTAAGTAAAGAGTGCAGTTGTCATGGTCCAGATTAGTCAACTGTTGTTAACTGACAATTTCAGTGGGAAACAGTGCAGGCCCCCTGTTTCTCAGTTAGGGGTCTGTGAGTTGGCTGGGGTTGAGCTGGGCTTGGCTGATCTTGGTTCCAGGTTGCTTTTTCTCTCAGGACTCATGGGCTACCACATCATGCTTCTCTCATGGTCATGCCAAGAGCACAGTAGGACAAGCCCAAATACACAAACACATTTCAAGCCTCTGCTTTGGTCACTTCCACTAACATCTGCTTGGCCAGTACAAGTGGATGGCCAAACCCAAAGTTAAGGGGTGCGATGTGCATGGGGACCAATAGGGAAGTCACGAGTGAGTGTATAATCCTACAAGGGCTGGAGGAATTGGGACCAATAATTCAACCAACACCTGGTCCATGGTTATTCACATTCTGAATATGTGAAAATGGGAAAGTGAAACACACACACACACACACACACCCTTAGTTCTTAGGAAGCGATCATAAAACCTTAAGGCTTGAAGCACTGTGAGGACTGGGAGTGTTGTGGATACCGTTTATTATCTAATGCATGTTATTTCAGTACCTATGCTGTTCATCCACATTTGTCCTTATTCCTAATAATGCAAAATTCAGATAATAAACTCTGCTGTAACACAAGCTCATTTGTGTGAAAGCCATTTGTTGGAATTTCAAGTCAGTGCTGTTTTTTTTTTTATTGGTTTTCACTTCACTTTCAAGATCTGCTCATTTGACCTGCATAGCTCAGTTGCAGAACTCAGGCTTGTGGATAGAAAGGAGCTGGTGGGGGTATCGGCCGGCAGCCATCCATCTAAACACCCCCAGACTCCACTTTTCTCCATCTCCATGTCTGGCTCCCACCTTGCCCGAGGCAGCTACTTGTCCCTCCTGCCCACCCTGCCCCATCCCTCTCTTTCCCACTCCCCCCACTTCTTGCCATAGCCACCCATATATTCATTCGTTTTTTGACCTCCCTGGGTATCTGGGCTGTGCCAGATTGTGTGCCAAGCCCTGGTGGGGCCACAATGAGTTCAACCCATGGTCCTTGTTTGGAATGTGAGATGATTCAGGTGCAGCATGACAGATGCAGAACAGAGGCCTGTGCTGGCACCAGTCACATCAAGGGGCATGACCAAGTCAAACCTATGGGTAAGGGTGGGGGTACCCCTACCCTGAGGTGGGGGTGTAAGCTGAGCTGCAGAGTCCAGCAAGAGCTGGTGATTCAGAAAGGGCAGGAAATGCTAGGGAGAAGGTGGTCCTGAGATATAGGTGTCTGAGGCTGCTGCAAGGCACAGACGGGCAGACAGTGAGGATGCGGCTCTTGGAGATGCAACGGTAGGAAGGCATTGAAGAAAAGGAGTTTGAGCTAGGGTCCTGGAGGGCTGCCTCTGAGAAGCCCTTCCAGGGGGCCTCTGGCTGTAACAGGTAAAGTGGGCTGGAGGAGCGAAGATGTACCTCCTGAACCATCTCCTCTCCATCTGGAAGGAAGAAGCAGGGCTCCCTAGAGGCACCAAGGAAGTATCCCCATTTCTACAGAGAGGCTTGGAGCCCAGGAGCCCTGTAGGCTGAGTCCCTTTGGAAACTGCATGAAGCTGGAATTTGCCCACAGAGAGGTTCTTCCCAGAAGGAGACTGAAGCTTTGGGGAGTCTCCCTCCCCTACTGTTCCATGCGGGGCAGGAAAGGACACCTCATGAGGTTGGAACCTGAGACTCCACATCGTGCAGCAACATACATTATGTCATTTAATTCACATGACATGCCCTGGAGATAGATACTTAATTCCCATTTTACAGCAGAAGAAACTGAACTCTAAGAGGTCAACTGATTTTCCTAAGACTATGGGTTCTGGAGAAGCAGTACGAGAATAACCCAGACTGCCCCACTTGTGCTCACATCCTTCCCAGCCTGCTTCATGTCTGCTCAGCCCAGCTGGGTCATGTGGCATTGTGGACAATTGAAGAACTGGGACTTAGGACCAGGCATCGACTCCCTGTCTAAAAATTCAACTTGCACCCTGCCCTCCCCAACATTTTCTGTTGCCATTCTCTTGAGCACTTTTCATTCTCTTGCATACTGTTTTTACTGAATTATCTTGTTTATTGTATCTCCCATCACTAGAATGTAAGGAATTTTTGCTGTGTTGTTCACTGCTGTGTCCCCAGCACTTAGCAACTAGAATGATGGAGGCCAAAGCAAGTGTTCAACAGACCTTTGTAGAAGGAATGAATAAGATACCTGGTCTGGCCTCACCCCTGACAAACCAGCTTCTCACAAGGGTTTTGACATCTGTTAAACTGCATGCACAGCTGTCCTCCTCTGGCTTGTTGGATTACTCCATAATTTCTTTGAAATCAGTTTGACAGGTGTAAGTACACTAAAATAAAAAAAAATTTCTAAGTAGAAATTTAGAATTGTAAGGGATTCTGCATTTCTGGTCCATCCCCTCACTTTATAGCAATGAGCCATGAGGTCCACCAAGAGCTGATGTGCAAAGTGATGCAGGGGCAAGAGGTGGTGAGGTCAAGGCTAGGACCCTCTAGATGTCTAGACCAGTGTGTCTTCCCTGGCCCATCCATACTCCTCTGGGAAACTTGGCTATGGTTGCAAACAAAATGACTACTAATAGTGACCACATCACTCATAAGCAAGAGAAACATTTTGAAAAAAAATTTAATAAAGTTAATTTAATGAAGAAGTACAAGAAAACATCTCCCAATTTAACTTTTAAATACAGAGTTCGTTGTGGTAAAAATTGATGTAGATGCAAATTGTTTTGCTGACATTCAAACTGACAGACTCCAAGATGACTTATGGAGGTGATGCCTTACAGTTGATTAATGTGGCATTTCCTCCTTGTTGCTAGGCTGGCTTCCCAAAGTCCCCTTGGCAGTTGAAGACTGTCTCGTCCCTTTCTCTCCCACCCTCCTGTATCTTCTGGAGAGCAGTCACTTTTAATCACAACTTTGCTCACATTCTCTCTGCTACCTTCCATCCCAGTTAAGAGTTGGCGGGTGAAGTTGCCACAAAACATCACATCAGCAGGTATGAATTTTATTCGACAATTCTGGAGTAAGAATTGCCACATTCCTTAAATTGTCTTTATATAATTTAATCTGTTCTTCAGCCCAATCCTATTCTGGTAGTATAGGCTGTCTGTCTTTTTAAAATCCCTCCCCTGTCTCTCCAGTTTGCAGAAAGTTCCCCAGCACCTCACACCTCAGAATACCCTCTCAGCATCAAACAGCCTCCCCACACTGTGTTGGTGTCTTTGCCTCTATCCTCCGGTGTGCTGTGGATCTTCTCCCTGGATCTCAGCCCTGGTGGTTTTCTGGCAATGCCAGCATTAGGCAGGTAACACAGGAACCACTCAGCCAATAAACAAAGTCTTGGCTTCCTTTTTGGACAATGGAAGGGAAAATACCTATAGTGGCTGGAAAAAATAGCAAATTATATTTTCATATGTGATCTCCTAAGTAGCAGTCGTTCAATTAAGGTTTTTAAAGGTCCCCCCAAGTGTGCTAATGAGGCTAAAATAAGACATTCTGAATTCACATCCATTTTAGTTCTTAATTTTGACCAAGATCTGGTTTTCTTTCTGCTTTTGTCTGGAAGAGAAGTAAAACCTTAAAAGGCCAGGGTCCCAGATTTCTATTTCTGAATCCTAGACCAGGGAGTCTAGGCAAATGGCTGTGAAATTAGGTTAAAGAAAATGAGTGAAGCCCATTGGGCTTGGGGGACGGTGGCAAGGGAAGAGGAGGTAGGGGAGGCCCTGAAACCTAGAGTGCATGATTTCTGGGTGAGGGCTCCTTAGGGCCAGGCTGGCTGAACACAGTCCTCAAGAGAGTCCAGAGATCAGGACTGTATGTGACATCAGTTATCATTTATCCAGTTGTCTTTTAAAAACTGATGGTCAAAATGGCAGGGAGTGAAGGAAGCACATTAGTGGTGGTGGCAATGGAAAGGGGCAGGAACCATCAGATGGAGACCTTTAACTCTATTATGATCCCAGTCTTTGAATCGACTAGGTGCTGGTCCTAGCCTTGTAACCTTGCAATACCGCCCTGTTCCTCTGGCCAGAGGGAGAGACCCCCTACAAAGGGGTGAAAGTCAGCAAGAGTTGTCCCAAGGTGAGCCCTGTATTCTTTCTTTCCTTGGGAGGTGCTGGTGCCCCCTGGTGGCAGCAGGCCTCCCCTGCAGGTCACTTCTCTTAAGAGCCTATTTGTGTAATTTTTTTTTTTCCCTAGTAGAAGTCATGCAGGTGGTCTAAAGATCATACAGTAAGATATGAAAGCAATAGAATGAAGTTTCTATTTAAAAAAACAAATTTTTATCCACTGTGTTTTGATTTGTGCCTAGAAAAGAATTTTGGAAGGCAATTTTGAATAGGGGTGGGGAGGCAGTGCTTTCTGAAGGGAGGGTCGCCATTCTTTACGTTTAACCTTTTGTTTCCCAACCATCTCATGCTTTCCTGGAACTGGAGATAGGAAGCCAGTGGCCTCTGATACCCTTATTCTAAGCTGCTTGGATTATGCAGCTATTTTCACTGCCAGCCACCCTGATCTGCAAGGTAGTAAGGAGGTCCTTAGGCCAGGTGGCAGCTAATCCTAGAGAAACCAGGAGGTGGGAGATGGGTGCCCTCCAGCGGGGACCTAAGGGGCAGGTTTCCTTGCTCATGATCGTGTTTCAGGCTGCATCCTTTTACTTTCTGAACTGTATCCTCTCATTGCATTAAAGCTGTGTGGGTGGTCATGACCCTCCCTGAAACGCAAACATGTCTATCTGCTTCGTGTTGGGCTGCTTGGCAGATGCAGGCACAAGGAAGCAGGGGTGTGAGATGGGAGAGAAGCTGGTGCTTCAGCATGGTGCCTGGGAGCTGGGCCCAGCAACAATCCTGATGGTGAAGGTCCAGCATGTCTGTGACCAGGTATATCTTGGGAGAGGGGGTACACAGCCTTGTCTAAACCCTCTCACAGCACATCAGTGGGTGCCTTGAGGGGTTCTCAAGCAGCAGGAGATGTGAGAAGTGTGCATGGCAAAACAGTGGCCCTGGCTACAGGCCGGAATACAGAAATGGAGCAGAAGGCTGGTGGGGATTCAGGCACTGAGCCAGGACCTCAAGACAAGGGAGGGGGAGGGATGGTGCAGTTCATTGTACGAAAACAAAGTCTGTGTATGGTTGAAGCAGAAAAGGTTGTCTTGAGAGGAGCCAGGGCTTCACCCGGTGCTGGGTGGGCAAGCTTGGGGCCCAGGATGAATAGTAAGCAGAAGCAAGGAGCTACTCAGAAAGACCTC